AACTGTATTGTGACAATGACTCAATGGTGCAATCAACATGACTTTCCCCCTTTAACACTCAACCCACAGAGCTTGTGGGTTATTTTTTATGAGGAGAGGCATTGGCCAGTTTTCCTTTCAGTCATTGTTTTGTGGTACATATATTCATATGTACTAATGAAAAATTTTTAAAAAAATTGAGAATATTTTCAAAGAAAAATTGATTCGAAATATTTAAAAGGAAAAATATTCTTGTATTTTAAGTACATGTATGTATTACCCATATGTAATGGATGAAAGTTAACTTTGCTATTATCAACTTTCATTTTGTATGCTGATATTACAATACAAAGTCTGGATATCGTATTTTTATATGATTATTTACTCTTTGATATATGATATTGGTGAACAATTTTTTACAGAAGTTTTGTGGCATTTCTTACTTTTTAGAAAAAATGATTTACATTTGTTGATTGTATGAACCCTTCACAACATAAATGATTGTAAGATTGCATAAAATCATGAGTTTTAATTCATGAAAACTTGTACACCCTATATTTTCAGATGAAAATTCAAATTATATACATTGTAAGAACATCATTTTTTCATGAATTAGGAGACATATTTAGGGAATACCTGTTCATGTGTACGCCTCTATATGGGGTGGCTGACAAGGATATTACTTGTACAAAATATACTTGCATATAAGTAAGATTCCACAAAAGAAATACTTATTCTGTATAAAGAGAATGGAAATGCATTCAGTATGTGTCTTGAACACTATTTAAATTAATTATTCCCCTAAAGTCCTTAAATTTGATAATTTTTTTCAGTGAAAGCATTAAATAAAATTTTAGTATATGTTTGTCAAATTTTTCTTTGAAATGAACATTTTCTCATTGGAGATTAGGGTGTCTGCTTTACAAGAATAACTTTTTTGTGTGTGATATTAATTTACACTGTGAACATGATCACAAATTTTCCATTGAAATTTGTCCCATTTATTTAATTTGATATACCGGTACATGTAAGGAATATAGCAAGAGTTTAAGAAATCTGCAGATTTACTAGTAACTGAAATAGTTATTCTGCAGACTTGTGACCCAATGGGAAAAAAGTATGTCAATTTACAGTATTTTAACTAGCTTGAAAATAAAATAAAAAGCCGCAGTTGTGTATACATACACATTTTATTGTTATGATATGCAGCATTTTTTGTATTGATGTATTAGCCCTCTCTCGGGGTGTATTTTGTACTCTCTCTATACGTGTATCAGTTTGCTGACTTGTAAACATAAACCATGCATAATGCTGTACATATTTACCATTGGTTAATATCCTGTGCTATATTGTATAGTTTTTTTGATATTTATTTGTGTTATGTACCTTTGAATATAGATATTATTTGTATGAATGTACATTTTTATATAGGGATGTGAACAGATTTTGTATGACAAATAGAAAAAATTAAATTATTAACAAATTTAAAAGGGTGTTTTTTTTTTCACTTAAATGATAGATTTTTAGATGAATTTAAGAAATTATGCAAAATTTTGTCTTGAAACCACTTGTCTAATATCCTAGGAAAATGAAGTTTACCAAATGTAAAAAGGACAAGGCCAATCTGGCCCCTTATTTGATATCAAAATCAAAGCACAGTCAGTTAACACTGTGATAGTTTGTACTTCAGAACTTACAATTGCTGAAAATTTGCATAAAAATGATAAAATTTGGAAATTAACATTTTCTAACCTTCCTGTGTATCCCATAACCTAGTTAGACTCAGTACTCACTTTGTGGAAGGGGTGGTATTAGGTTTTTGTTAATAAAATTTTGCATCATTCTAAAAGACCCCCAAAATCTGGGACTTCAAAGGGGGCCTACAATATCTTGTCCTCTATAGCTCCTCATTGCAATGACAGAAAAAAGAATATTATAAATTTCTGATGTTCATATTTCCCATAGGAAAACGAAGTATTAGCTTTGATTGAAGTAAAATTATTTTATTGACTTTTGTCATTTTATAAAATATTGATTTCTTATACAATACTATTGTAAAACTGGAAAACACTGGTTCCAAAAAAAAGGTCTGGATTTAATTTGACAACATGCAAGAATGAAGATTAGACAACATTTAATGCAATTGAAATAACTTCGCCCGTTATGCATAAATTATCCCATGTTTCCCACTATCGTTGATGCCCTGGCATACTATACTAACTAGACAGTGATTCCTTAAATCAATTAATTAAAGATTCAATCATGAGAGAAAGTCAAGCTTAATGTCATATGATTTCTATATTGTATGTCATACAGCTCAGGGCATTATTTATTGAAAAGCCCTCGTACAACATTTGGAGTAGATCGACAAGAAGTATTCCATTCTTCTAAAAAATGAATAAATACTTATTTATCTAATTGATCATAAAGGTATATTAGAATAGTTTAAGAATTATCATAAAAGCAGATTTCAATGCAAAATAACATTTTCAAAAAATGCAGCTATTATTGCTTTTAAAGGAAACATTCTAAAATTGCTAAATACTGAAATTGGAAAAGTTCTATTTATTGATCAGCCTTCTCATTGAATGAACATGCATGTACGTTTACCAGTGAAATAAAACCAGTATCAATATATAACTATGCATTGTCTTTTTTCTTGTCTTTATCTGTACTGTCTTCCTTCTACACTGGGCATCCCATTGTACAGGGATTGGTTCTCAACCAGTTACATGTAAACAGCACTTTTTGTAATGTTTTTATTATGCAGGGTTAGTATGTGCGTAAAAATTACATAAACTTATGCTGTAAAATGCCACCAAAACAAGCTTTATAATTAAACCTACCATAAATTAATCATAAGAAATATTGCAGCGGTACAAGTAATGACAACCATTACATTTTCAGCGATAAGTAAATTTGAAATGCTACATGTGTACATGGACGAATAAGTATTGAAAAAAAGGTCAGTCAGCATTTGACTCGGTAATAAATTATGTTTGCTGACAAGGTTATTGTATCGACCGTAGGTGTAGAACTTACGAAATGATGACTTTAAAAGAGACTGTTGATATTCTTGTTTCATCAATTTGTATGTCAATAATTTACCGGTATTTCGTTTTAGAAATTTTACATACATAAAGCATGCTCTTGCGTATCGAATCAATAGAGAGATATAAATACTGCAGGCGATGAAGTTAAAGTATATGCTCACTGTTTCTGAAAAATAATCACTTTTCTAATATTACTTTATTTTTGACTAAAGATTTCCAAACGAAAGAATTGTCTATTTTGGGTATAAATTTGAATTATTAACAGCTTTTCTGGAGATTAAAGGCCCCACAGGAGGATGGAAATTCCATAAGTGACAGTTTTATAACGTCATTTACCGGTAAATATTTTTTTTCATCTTTTTTGCCTTTATAAGATTATTTTTTCTAAATACAATATTTTATTCAAACTGCGCATAAAGTTATTTACGCTGTTAAATACAGGAAATGTTAATAATCCCACTTTAAATGCAGTGGGATGGCTAAAATAAAGAATTCATTTTCATCATCATTTCCTGATACATCATCATAAATAGATAAGGAAGTTTGTAACTAATCTATTTTCAGTCAAATTGGAATAAACTAGCAGTTTAAAATATGTAAGGACTTTTTTCACCTTTCTTTTCACATTCGTTTTTCCCTAAATGTCACCTTAAAAAATTATTATGGATTTGGTCTGTCATGTTCATATATGTAAACTATCAAACATTTTCTATCAATTGTGTTATCTGTATATATTTCCATTTCTAATTTTTTTTTCTCTGTGATAACTCTTTGAAAGTTAGCGGGGTTGATTTCTTGATAATTCTACGGAATGTAAATTAGGCAGGTCGATATGTCAGGAGTTAAGGAGGTCTAATATGCATGCAATTCTCATGCGCAACTGTCTCTGTGTCCAAGGAGGCCAAATATGCATGTTTGACGTCAGTGGCCGAGGACTATTGAAAATGGCATTGGAGTCTTCGTGTAATTTCAATCCCTTAGTCTATATATTAAAAGTCTAAATCTACAATTTTATTTCACAATGAAATGGAAATATAATATATCACTGTCTAGTTAGTATGGTATGCCAAGGACATCAACGATAGTGGGAAACATGGGATAATTTATACAAATGATCCCACTTTTCCCACTATTGTTGATGCCCTGGCATACTATACTAACTAGACAGTGATTCCTTAAGCACATATACACAATTAATAAAGTTAATTATTGTAATGCACATATAAATTTATGGTCATGTCTTTTAAAAGTTAACAATTCCCAGGTCCTTTCATTTTCTAATGCTTGAGTGAGCTAAAAAAGCATAGGAAAAAGTTTTTAAAAATTCTAATTTATTACCTGTTTTTTTTTTATTTTACAAACATAAGATAGGTGTTACAGGTATAAAATAAATTATGGTAAATCATATAGAAATATTTTTTCTTTTACAAATATTTCCGTGTAAAATTCATATAGAGTTAAGGTCAAGATCTAGTAAATCACTTTAGAATAACTTTTCAGTGCTAAATCCATTATGACGTCATAATCACTTTCAGCTTTCTTTTTCCCATACTTTACTGCTCTAATAGATTTATGTAGAAAATAAAGTATTTTCATGGAATTCAATTCAAAATCACATGAAAAGTAGTCCCGATACCTATCTTAAATTTGACATTATTTTAAAATAGAGACTTAGAACATACAAATAACCGTTTTCTGAAAAACTGTAGGCAATCTGGATACATTTTCTTTGTCTGATATGGAAAAAACTACCATTTTCAATACTGGTTTTCTTAATTTTTCATTGAAAATGACAGTTTAAAATATGGTTTTTCATCTTTTTTTTCTACAAATTATGCCCCGAAACACCTATTTTGACCAAGCTAATGTTATAAAGCATCATCAAAGGAATTCATTTCTCAAATTTTAAAAATCTGTAGGCACCTTCCATTTACTAGATCTTGACCTTAATTGATCTTTTCTAGATAAAGGGTTTTCTGATATCCACCACAATGGACCCTCGGTTCAGTGCCCAAGATGTCCTGCGCTGTGACCTGTGTGAGACTCCTGTTCCTCCAATGTACTGTGACTTTTGTCATGTTAAACTCTGTAAGGCCTGTGTAGGGGAGCATCTCTCTGATTTATCTAAAGAACATAAAGTGGTGCCATACAAGGAAAAGGGAACATCACCAAAATGTCCAACTCATGTTGGAAAACTTTGCGAACTTCATTGCAAGGAATGTGACCTTCCTGTTTGTTCACTCTGTCTGTCATCCAAAATTCACAAAGGGCATAATTTATTGAATTTACTGGAGATAATGAAAATCAAACAAAAGGCCATACAAAAAGATGGTGATGAATTATGTAATGTAGTATACCCAAAATCTGTTTTTTCACTTTTTGATGAACCAGAGCTCGTCACTTCCATACAAACTAGACAAAAACCACTATTTCATGTTACTTGTCTTAGTGACGAAGAAATCTGGACCAGTGGGAATACTGAATTCTTGAAACTCTACAACCTCCAGGGCAAACTACTGAAATCAATTGAAACTGAGGAGTCTTATAGCTATCCAGGTGATATAGCATTGACAAGGAGTGGAGATCTAGTTTATACGTACCCTGTTACAAAAACAGTAAATATAGTGAAGAATGACCAGATACAAGAAGTGATCAGATTACGGGACTGGATTCCGTTTTATATCTGTAGTACCTCCTCTGGTGACCTCCTGGTTACCATGGTCAGTACTGTTAATTTTCAATCAAAAGTTGTCCGTTATTACTCTAACTTCACAGAGACTCAATCCATTCAGTTTGATAATAAGGGCAAACGTCTGTATTCATATGATCGTTATAAATTCATCAGTGAGAACAGGAACCTGGATATTTGTGTGGCTGACAATAGAGCTAGCGCAGTGGTAGTGGTTAATCAGGCAGGAAAACTCCGATTTAGATACACTGGTCATCCCTCTACTACAAAGAGATCATTCGATCCACTCGGCATCACAACAGACAGCCAGAGTCAAATTCTGATCGCAGACTATGACAACCAATGTATCCACATCATAGATCAGGACGGACAGTTCCTCCGTTACATTGATAACTGTGATCTACATTTGCCTTGGGGTTTATGTGTAGACTCCAGAGACAACCTCTTTGTGGCTGAATTTCTCAGTGGTAAAGCGAAGAAAATCAAATACATGTACATACAAACAATGTTTTAATGACAGGAGTAATTTGTGATAGATATTATCCAGGTAGACAGGAGAAAGTAACAATACCTAGATGTTTAATCCAATCAATATCAGAGAATTTATGGTGATCTAACAAGTCTACGATTAATAGAATTTCAAAACATTCTTGGAAAATTCTTGGTTTTTATTTTATTTAAAAATTTGCTTTATTTTAGAATTAGTATCTCATATAATTCACTTTGCATACAGTGTTACATCGTTATGTTTTTCATCAAAAAGTTCTATCTTATCAAAAAATAAGTAAATAAATGGAAATCGAACGTCTGTTATATGGGAAAACCTGGCGTTATTGCGAAGAATTAGAGAAATCACTGTGTCTCTTTGCACTTGCAAAATAAACGTTGAATTGTATGCATACATGAACAAGCTAGGGGGTTATAAACACTGACTCGGGCTCTAGCTCCAACTCTGGCTCGAAATATTTCAGGGTTTTAAAACTTGGTTCCAGCTCCAAATCTAGCTCGAAAGCTGTCTCAAGAGCACAGATTTCAATTGTGTGATCCAAGTGTCGTCTGCTTCTTCCAAGAATGGCTGCACACAGACAAATGGTTCACAGGCAACGCGTTCCGCGTAATTTCCGTAATAGGAGGAATTGTCTGCAGAGGATGTCTTCGCGAGGTACCATTTCCACCCAGTCACCATTATGGATCTCCTGCATCAGCTGCCAGACTTGTCATAACCAACACAGAGGAACATTCCAGTCCCACCTCTCCTTCAGTTTACTAGTTACCTTAAGATTTCTTGGAACAGGTGCCACTCACATCATAGTTGGTGATGACATAAAGATCTCAAGATCCACCGCTGGGGGATGCATAAGGGTGTGTCTGCACTCATTGCAGAATTGGCACCACAGTTCGTATCATTTCCAAGAGGAGACCGGGTCTCGTCAATTCATGGTGGAATTTTGGCACATTTCAGGTTTCTAATGATTAATATACAGAACAGAATAGATTATGACACAACTAAAGGGAGACAACTTTTGATCATATACTTCTTAACTCTTTCATAAAATCAAAGCATTTACCTGTGAGCGTGGGAGAGGTTATAAGGGGGGGGGGACTATGTATGCCCCATCTGAAACAAAATTACTTGCATATTATTGCTGCTTTCTGGTTTAATTAGTGTTATGTCAATTTAATATTTTTCATCTGACTTAATCATTATATTCTGAAAACAAAAGAATTATTGTTCTAATAAATGATTCCATGATTAAGAATACTATTAGTTCAGAAAAATTTGTAAACCTTAATCATTGATTACATTTTTTGAAGACTTAGCCGAATTGCAATGAGAAAAGCTTGATTTAAGTCAAGTTGGACGATAATTGTCATTATGTGTATGTGCTTGTACATCTAAAGGGAAACAACTCTATCTTGTTCTATTTAATGCTACTTTAACTCTGAAAAAAGTATGAATTTGTGTGATAGATGCCTGGGGTGTGGGGATTCATTGGGTCAACTAAATTTTTTTTATTATGCATTGTGTTCTGTCTTATGACTTCGTTTGTATTGTTTTGCTTGAGCTGAAGGCAGTGGACATCCCAATGCATAGTTCGAATATTCAGGGAATGGTTGCATGTATACTGGGCACATTCAAGAAATATAATAATTAGACAAGATTCTTAAAGTATGGAATGACTTTAAAAAGATATATTTCACAAAGCTGTATTATGCTTCATAACACAAAAACGCCAATTTGAGAAGTGAAAAGTTATATCCTTTCTGAAAGGAATGTTTTTCTTAGGTTAGCCTAAAAAGCCTTGTTTCTACAGTAACCTAGTTATTTTGACGTCTTTCCTGATGACCCGTATAAAAGGAGGAATGATCAAATACTAGTAAAGCATTATGAATATGTATGAAGAAGGTTTCTGTGCATCTGTCGGGTTTTTAGGCATACCTTATACATGTTATATCACCCCAAACCATGCATGGACTGTACGATCCTCTCCTACTCTAGGCATGGTTGCATGGGATGAACATATCTTGTTCCTCGATAAAATATTGTCAAACGCAAGTAAAGGATGGTCAGAGAATTGCATTTGATGTGATCTTTTATGAGACAATTGCAGTTTACAGTAGACCTACTTTTATATTCATATGAAGCAGAATTTGTGCAAAATTTTATGATTTTTTATGACTACTGTAAATTTTAAATTCATTTGTTTGACATATAATTCTTGTACAGCGCCTTAAAGTTTTAATATGTAGAGCGCTTTATAAATGTTTAATAATGATAATAAATAATAATAATTATGCGTGAAAAGAAGAAAACACTTGCTGTGGCCTTCAACTCGACCTTAAGATATATCGACGACGTATTGTCAATTAACAATGGTAATTTCCATTCCAACGTCCATACGATATATCCTAATGAGCTTGAGATAAAAGATACCCAGAGTTTAACACATACTCTGTTTCATATTTGGTTATTTTACTTGAAAAAAACGTTAATGGTAATTTAACAACCAAGCTATATGATAAACGTGATGACTTTAACTTTTCTATCGTCAGCTTCCCTTACCTATGCAACAATATACCTTCATCACCTGCATACGGAGTATATATATCTCAGTTGATTCTTTACGCAAGAGCATGCTATGAACACTTTCTAAAACGAGGTAAATTATTGACAAGCAAGTTGATGAAACAAGAATATAAGCAGTTTATTTAAGTCATCATTTCGTAAGTTCTACGCTAGATGCAATGACCTTGTCAGCAAATACAATTTATCATTGAGTCAAATGCTGACTGACGTTTTTCATACCAATTGTTAGTCCATTAATTATACACTGAATTGACGACGGATTTTCCTGTTATTTCCTAATCATGACAAGGAGCACACGGCGGATGTGACCGGTCAGCAGGGATGCTCACTCCTCCATGGCACCTGATCCCACTCTGATGTTTCGGAGGTCCCTGTTTGCTCTGCTCCAATTTTGTATTGTTTTATGGACTTTGATATTGAAATCTGTTCGTGATCTCCATTCCTTTTTTTGTTTTGCTGTTTATTCATTAAATTTAAATTCCTTTTTTTAAAAAGTTATTTTTCCCATTATTAAACATAATGGGGATATAAACGATTATTTTTGTCGGTTTCTAAAATGACATCACAAATCAAAGTTCCATAAGTTCCATATCATACAATGTACATTGGATCTATTCTATATCGCCACATGTTGTCATTGCAGGTTAAAACAATTGTCTAATATTTTTCTTATAAGATCAATATAATTGTAAATGCATATCTTTGCAGTACAAATCATTAAGAGATGTGCACCTCTGTTCCACACGTAATTACATGTACTTTTATGCATGGGAATTTCTAGAATGGGACTATACACATAATACAAAACCAACTGATTATAATAGGGAACTTTCAAAGCCAAGAGGTCCAGAGGCACCAAAGACATTCAACTTTTTTAAAAAGAGGATTTTGTAAAGATGTCATAATTTATTTTTCAAAAATTCTTTTTTATCACATTGAAAAAGGGAGTGGTTCTTAATATGAAATGATTTTGATTCTGTGTTCCTTTTATTCAAAACATCAATGAAACCAGAGGGGACTATATAGGTTTCTGTGTCTGCCCATCCATCCTGCCCTCTGTCAGTCTGTCCCACTTAGTTTTCCTCACTTTTTCTCTACATGCTTCCAGATATTGAGCTGAATTTTTTAGTATTTAAATGTATCTTGGTGAGCCTTACAGCCCAGGTGTACCGGTAGGGAATTAAAAGGTTTCCTCTGCGTCCGTTTGTCTGTTTTATCCTACTCTTTCTAAATGCTTGCAGACATTGAGCCGATTTTTGGTGCGTGAATGTATCTTGATGAGTTACTGATCAATTTTAATTTCGCCTTCTTCAATGATATTTTAGGGAAATACGGCCTTATTAATTTGTAATGGAAATCACACTACACTTACCGGAATTGGAATAGTAATGTAATGCTTATATAAATACTCTCAGAATGCTTGTTTAAATACACGTAGTTTTTTTAAAAATTCTCCGACTTCATACATTGTCTTAATAGAGAATCAATCTACCTAAGGAGATGTTTCTGTTTGTACATTTGTACAGATAGATATAATGATTTATTTGTAAGGCAATGATATTTTTAAGTTTAACAGTTTTCTTCACAGAGCCCAATAAAAATTCTTTTTTTGAAAAAGTTATAGTAGTGTGGATTTAATTGAAACAGTAGTTTGCAAAATTCTCTAAAAGAGTCTGAACATGCTCACATTCCCACAACAAATGTTCTATTGTTTCAGTTTCTTTTTTACAGAAGGTACATGTTTTATCATCTGTTTTATTAATTTGTTCAGGAAGGAATTTGACGCTAGTATTTCATAGTTTATTCTTAATTAAAACCACTGAAGTTTGGTGTTTTTTGTAATTTTGAATGGAAGTAAATTTATCTTCCATTCACCATTGCTCAAATCAAATATTCTATTCCAAGAGATTTTACCCAACGGTTCAACTTTTTGTCGAATTACTATTTCATATAAATCATGTGATTTTTTTTTATTCAGGAGCGAATAAACATTATCTGGGATATATGGGTAAGCTATTTTTGATAAGTTATTTTGATCTCTGTTTATCTTTCTCAGCCATTCTAATATTGATGCCTTAATGCCATTATATTCAAGAAAATGTGTTTTTATCCCGTATTTCATATGTAGGTCATTCAAATTCATAAATGTCCCATCTTCATTGTGTATGTCATTTATACATAAAATGTTACAAGAAAACAATCTTTTTTAGAAGAATGGCTTTTTATTAATGGTTATTTTTTATTATGGAATAATAGTTCTAAAGAAGTAAGTATGTCATTTTGTAATGATTTGTCACAAAAGCTTAGCCATGCATGTAACACGTCCTTCCAATATTTTTTAGATTATTCATTTTTTTGACAACATACTCAATGTATCAATGTACCTTAAGGACATAATGAACTCTCCTATACTAATCATCTTAAAACCCCCTTCTTTGTAATTTATTACACAATTTTTTTCTTTTTAGTCTTGAAATATTACTTCCCATTACAAATGTATAAAATGGATTTTCTAATTCTTTCATTTGAATTTCAGAGGGACTTGGGAGACATGCAAAAACATGATTAAAGAGTTTTTAGAACCGTTAGACGACCTAGAGGATTTAAATTTCTATTGTTCCAGTGTTGTATTGATTGTTTTATATTACATATTTTTGATGCATAATTACGCATAAATATATTTTTTAGATCAATGTCAAAATCAATGTCTAATAATTAAAAGGTTACTTATCCCCACTCTAACATATGATCTGTACTTAGAGTATCGTTGCTGCCTTTTTTGGACCCAATCCAGACTACGTGAGTTTTACTGTAATTTATATGCAAGTCTGATATATTCGCAAATCTTTTAGGAGTAGTGATATTTGTTTGGAGTGATCTTTCACTTCCATCTAATATTAAAGAAGTATCATCTGCCAACATACGTAACTTTTTTTCAGTATTCATAAATCGAATCCCCTTTATATCCTTATTGTTTCGAATGCTGATTGCTAGGATTTCTGCACAAATGGGAAACAGATATGGAGACGAAGGTTCCCCTTGAGGCAGCCTCTGTGTAGGTTAAAAGATTGCGATAAATTACCTCCTTGACTAATGGAAGCTGTAATATTTGTGTAAAAAATATTATCCAATTTTCTAATAGAATTGCTAAAATTAAAAAAAAATTGAGGGATTTCTGTATCAAAGACCAAGACAAGGAATCAAAAGCTTTTTCAAAGTCCACCAGGAGCAAAAGACCGGGTATATTTTCTTCTTCTGTAAATTGCATGATCTTGATAAATAATTTTATCAAGATATTTTTACATTCCATTAGCAATTGAGCCTGATGGAATTTTATAAACAGTATTAAGTAGCGAAATAGGTCTCCAGTTTTTTAGATGTTGTCTGGGTTTATCACCTTTTGGTATACAGGTTATAATACCGTGTTTTTGTGTAATACTTAAAGTCTTATTCTCATAAGCATAACTAATGGACCTTACTACAAAAATACCAATGGACTTCCAAAATACCTTTAAAGACTCTGATGTAAAGCCATCTGAACCTGGCGATTTATTTGATTTGTGGAGTGTTTCTGAAGTTTCTTTTTATGTTATTTTACTTGAAAGTTTAGCAATATATGGAAAATTTAATTCATCATCAAGATCATGGATGTCGTTTATAGAATTATTTATGTCTCTATATAAGTATTCATAATATTTTTTATTTTCATTCAAAATCTCTGCCTGCTTATAAATAATGTTGCCATTTTCTGTTTCTATTTTAGAATGATCTTGCTTGTGAAATTTCTATTCTGTAAGTTACAAAAATATTGTGATGGTTTTTCCCATTCTTCTACCCATCTTGCCCTAGATCATATTGAAACACCCTTCATCTTTTGTTTTCTTATATCCTCTTATTCCTTATTTTTTCTTCTATGAGTTCTACATTGTCAGCAATAGTATGTATTGTTTCTTCAAGATATTTTATTTCTTCTACGATTTTTTCTTCTTTTTGCTTTGTTAGCTTCTTTTTGTATAAGGAATAGGAAATACATTTTCCTCGTATTTTCATGAGTAGGGTTTCTAAAAACAATTGATTATTTATTGTAAAGACTAATTCTTCATCATTAACTTGCTGTAAGTTTTCTGTTAAATATATAAGTACAGCATACTGTTTCTTAACATTCCAAATGACTTCATTTATAGAATTAAGAAATTTCTCATCACTAAGAAGTGAATTATTAAATTTCCAAAGACCTTTACCCTTTTGAAAATCATTAAAATATAAAGATAAACTAATCATAGAATGATCAGACCTATAACATGTTTCAATTGTACATCCTATTGCACTTCGCAATAAATTTTCTGAGATCAGAAAGAAATCAAGCCTGCTTTGTTTTAGTGTTTTTCCCCTCCATTTGTATCTTAGAGTGTTTGTATGAAACTGTCTGTATATATCGATATAACCCCCATCTTCAATAAAGTCAAGAACCTTTTGCCTTGCGTTTGGATTATTTATATGTTTGTAATTATAATAATCAATATCTGGGTTAATACAAGGTTGAAATCACCACATACAATGGCATTATTACAGTTAAAACATCTATACAAGTTTGTATGTTTTCGTAGAAGTCTGGATTATCATTATTTGGGCAATAAATATTACAAAGAAGCAGATTTTTTTCCTCTGTTTTGAATTCTAGAAAGCGATAGTTTCCGTCAGCGTCCTCTTTTGGATTTAGATTTTGTATATCAAAGTTATTATTCACAAGAATAGCTACTCCACTCGAATTTGAGGAAAATGAGATAAAATAACAATCAAAACCCCATAAATTTTTAACATCATTCTCAGAGTTGGGAGTAAAATGTGTGTCTTGTAAACAATATATTATAATTCAATTCTTTTAAAAAATTAAACATATCTCGACGTTTGTTGATATCCCCTAGACCCTGACATTTAACAGATTAAAATTTTTAAGTTCACCATTATCTATAACGTAAACATTACATTTGAGAGCGTGGAGCCATTGTACTTCAAAAGAAGGTGAGGAAAGTATAGGAAAGAAGAAATAGGAAAGAAACGTATAAAAAACACATTTTAAGTTTCAAGAGTTATCTGTAGTGAATTCTCAATGTTTAGAAATGTTGGCTTTCACCCTCAGACATTTAAATCATTATCCGTGATACTGGTTATGAATAGACCAGGAAGATTGAACCTCCAAGGACAACAAATGACAACCATGTTGGATAAACTACTTGTCTAATTACATGTGTAGGTATGCTTTTTAACAAGTTTTATTGTCCCCAACTTTTGCTAAATGGAGGGGACATTACATCTCATTCGTCTGTCCGTCTTCCACTCGGTTAGTCTGTTAGTCTGTATGTATTCTGTCAAAATAACTTAAACCTTGGGCATTACTTTTAAGCTCATGTTTGACATGTACATACCTTTCACACATGCTATGATTTTTTACCCTTTTTGACCTTAACCTCAATGTTTGACTTACCTTTCAAAAATATGAACATGCTGGCATTATATCGGTCATAACTTTTGAAAGAGAAAAAAGATCGGCCTTCTCGGTTTCATATTACACATGAAAACCTTTACAAAACCTTTCTAAATAAACTATAACTTTTGACCCTGTGGCCTTGACCATGAAGTTCGATCTACTTTTTAAAAATGTTGTTTTTCCTGATAAGGTAGAGCTTTCATATTGGATATGTGCATTACATGCTATAATTTTTTAAACCTTTGATCTTGACTTCGTGTTTGAAATTATTTAAAAAGAACTATTTTTGGTGATTATACTTCTAAATGACATATGAAAGAGCATTTATATTTGACACAAAATGCCATAAATAAAAGCATCTCATCCACAGAGACACCGATAATGGTGGAGAACAATTCTTTAAAATCTCCATGTTTGATATATTTTCTCTGAGATGTTAATTTCTTTGAGGTATGATAACCATCTTTTCATGTTTTTGTTTTTTGATTACTTTTTTCATTTTCCATAAACATATTGAATATACAATTACAGATGTAGGATCAACTATTACACACATAAAATATGTTCCAAATAATGACCCAGCTCTTCCAATTTCATACCTTCAAGTATAAACTATCCATCATAGACATCTGCAGATATTGTGATGATTTTTTGGTTTGTGAGACTCTCTTGAAGTGTAACAAACTGAAAGACTGAATTTGTTCTGTTTTAATAATTTTAGAAGGAATCATGTTCATTATTTTTAAAGGTAAACCAGATAAAATTTGCCAGTAGGGGACGACTAGACTGTATTGCTTTTGCAGTACTCTCATATTGCATGTTGTTCCATTACATAATCAGAGTAGATTATATCCTATTCTTTATTTATAAGCATATCTGTCTGTGTCATTTGGTTTTCGTCATCGCTAAAAATACTCAATGCTTGCAGTTAATAAGTGTGCTTTATTTTAAGAATAGCTAGGAAAAAAGTGCATACATTCAAGTTGGACAGACTGACAGATAGACATGGAGGAAACTTAAATTGTTGTCCAATTTCATTAAGAGGACTACCAATGAAATTTATTAGCATTTGTTTCTTAGCAATAATATTATATTTTTTTCTTTTGTTAAATTTTACAAGCCCAAGAATTAAATTTCCACTTCTGAACAAGTTAATTCATCTTCTCCAGGTTAAAGGTTTCCTTAATTGTTCAAAATGGACCCAAAGTTCAGTGGTCAAGATGTCCTGTGCTGTGACCTGTGTGAGACTCCTGTACCTCCAATGTACTGTGACTTTTGTCATGTCAAACTCTATAAGGCCTGTGTAGGGGAGTGTCTCTCTGATTTATCTAAAGAACATAAAGTGGTGCCATACAAACAAAAGGGAACTTCACTTAAATATCCAAAATGTCTAACTCATATTGAAAAACTTTGTGAACTTCACTGTAAGGAATGTGACCTTATTGTTTGTTCACTCTGTCTTTCATCCAACTTACACAAAGGACATAATTTATTGAATTTACTGGAGATAATAAAAACCAAACAAAAGGCCACACAAAAAGATGCTGATGAATTATCTAATTCAGTTTGCCCTAAATATGAAGAAATTACTGGAGAGATACACAGAGAAAAAACAAACCTAGAAAAACAATACAATAAACTGACAACAGCTGTCACCAAACAAGGAGAAGACTGGCACAGAGAAATTAACATCATTGTCAACAATCGAAAATCTGAAATTGATGAGATGAAAACTAAACATCTGGGTGTTCTAGATAAACAGGAAAAGGAAATAAAACACATAATTGCTGAAGTAAAACAGTGCATACTTGATATGAAAAAAATACTAGACTCCAATGATGTCTTCCATATTTGTGTGTACAAATCTAAAATTGCTGAATTCAGAAAATTACCCCCAAAAGTTAAGATTTCATTACCAAATCTCTGTCCTCTTCCAATCAACAAAGACCAGTTCCATCAAATGTTTGGTTCTCTGTCAGCATTATCCATTACGACAGAAGAACGTGGCTACACAATGAAAACACAAGAAGCTGTATCCTGTCATCCAGTCAAACCATTGCTTGATGAACCAGAGCTCGTCACCACCATAGACACTGAGTATAACGAACTATACAGTGTTACCTGTCTCAGTGATGAAAACATCTGGACACATGGAGATGACAAAATCATGAAACTGTACAACCTCCAGGGTAAACTACTGAAGTCAATTCAAACCATGTCAGGGAAAACACCAGGTGACATAGCAGTGACAAGGAGTAGAGATCTAGTTTATACTGACCCTGTTACAAGAACTGTAAACTTAGTGAAGAATGACCAGATACAGGAAGTGATCAGACTGCAGGAGTGGATACCTTACAATATCTGTAGTACGTCCTCTGGTGACCTCCTGGTTACCATGGGTAGTGATGATTTTGAACAATCAAAAGTTGTCCGTTACTCTGGTTCCACAGAGAAACAAACCATTCGGTTTGATAGTAAAGGGAAACCTCTGTATTCACCTGGTAACATTAAATACATCAGTGAGTACAAGAAACATGATATTTGTGTAGCTGACTGTGAAGCCAGAGCAGTAGTGGTGGTTAACCAGGCAGGAAAACTCCGATTTGGATACACTGGTCATCCCTCTACTAACATGGAATCATTCTGTCCATACGGCATCACAACAGACAGCCAGAGTCAGATTCTGGTATCAGACTTAAACAACCACGGTATCCACATCCTAGATCAGGATGGACAGTTCCTCTGTCACATTAATAACTGTGATCTACAGTTTCCATGGGGTCTATATGTGGACACCAAAGACAATCTCTTTGTAGCTGAGTTTCGAAGTGGCAAAATTAAGAAAATAAAATACATATAAACAATAAGGAAAGTCCAAATACAGTGTAATTATGAAAGTCGCATACCGATGAAAGAAGAACACCCTGCATGATGCCTGATTCATTCAGTATTATTGTTTTGAAACTTTGTCATATTATCCCGCGGTAACCAGATAAAGTTACACCATCCGTTTGCAAATTAACGTTGATAATACAATATACTTTCATGTAAATTAGTTGAATCTGATTGGTCGAGAAACATTTGTTAAAAACACTATTACCCACTGAATAATGAAGCCAAACCCTCCAGCGTAGCAACAGTCAACATTCCTTGACGACGGGTGATATTCCAGAAAAAAGCTACTGCGCAGAATTTAAGCACGTACGGTTCACTGTTACATGTATTTGTATAAAACATTCAGTATAATATGATAAATCTTCCCGATTCTGCGTAAATGTAAAACTGTTTATTTATGTCGAAATCTTTTATAAAAAGAAAATTAATTGAATAACAATGAACAATAAAATTAGCTTAAAAAATGCATTTAACAGGAATCAATCATTAAGACAATCAATTCTACGACATGCACGACTATTGCATCAGCCGTAATATGGATGCATGTTGTAGTGCTTTTAGCTGACGGCACCACAAATATCGCCAATATATAGCGAATAAACAACAAACGCGAACTGGCCACAAAATGTACTTGTATTCTGTGTACAGTATAGCCCGCGTAATGTCACGGGAGATAACCCAAAAAGAACACTGTAAAAATAGAAAATAAAAGAAGTCTATAAAACTAGTCCATTTTCACCACACTGCCCCCCTCTAGGCTCCTTTAAGTCCACTAAAGGAAAAGCCGATCTGGGCGACGTATTTCACGGCCAGCTCGAGTCCGCAGTGGCCTCGATTCTGGTCCAGCAATGATCTCCTCTGGTGTCCCCAGGGAATCATCTGAGTCCATGATTTCTTGGTTGGGCGCTTTGTCTGTTTTACTGTTCACTTCACCTTGACATTCCTGTATGGTTTCCAAGTCGTTCTCTTCTGGGAGATTAAACCTATTGACCCAGCCGGGTACGGAATCCGAGGTTATATGCCTTAAGACGATCGTGATGAATCACAGCCGACTTTTTCCGTCCTTGTACCTCATACAAAACAGGCCCGTATTTCTTTTTGACGATAAAAGGCCCCTCCCAAACAGATTGCAACTTGGGTGACTTACCCACCTGTTTCGCCATTTTGTTGACATAAACCAAATCACCTACTCCGTATTGCTTACTGGAAATGCGCAGATCATAAAGACGCTTTTGCTTTATCTGCGCCTGCTGAAGTGATTTCCGCGCAACATCATGGGCTGTGCTCAGAGCATGTCTTCTCGATGTATGTTGGGGTATCCAGTGGGTCTCGAATTGTCTCTGGGTCCTTAAAAACTAGTTCGGCCGGTTGATGTACCTCTCTACCCAACATCATAAAGTTTGGGGATATTCCTGTGGCTTTGTGTGGAGTGCTTCGGTATGCAGAAAGTAAGAGAGGCAACTGTTCATCCCAAGTTTTCTGCTCTTTGTCGACATAAAACCGGATCATTTGCAAAACAGTCCTATTGAAGCGTTCAACCTGACCATTAGAGGAAGGATGATAAGGTGTGGTCCTTGTTTGAGCAACTCCTAGCAATTTGCACACAGTCCTGAACAGGTCACTTTGGAAATTTCTGCCCTGATCAGCAGTATGGATCTCAAGAGGGGCGCCAAACCTAGCTATGAACTCCTCCACAAGCTTTTTTGCTGTTGTCTCACTGCACTGGTCTGGGACAGCTTACGCCTCCACCCATTTGGTGAACTGGTCAGTTATTACCAGAATGTACTTATTGCCACTTGAACTTGCAGGGAATGCGCCAAGTACATCAATATGCAAACGATCTAGTGGAGCACCATAAATATAAGACTGCATTGCTGCTTTGCTTTTACGCGAAGCTCTCTTTTCCATACCACATGTGGCACAACTTGATACATAGTGTAGGACATCTGCTGTCTGTTACCTTGTTCGGACAATGTCATACGCCAGGGAAGTATTCCAAGTAGAACTTGTTTTGTTTGTCTATTCAAGAGCAATATCAACAATTCAGAACTTCAAATTATCGTTCTTTATCTCCCCCTAGCGGTCGGCAGAAATGCTACGAATGCTGGATGGAAAACGGTTTTTAGTAAAATGATGAGTTCGATAAAAAGGAAAGCATTTCATAAATAATGTGAATGACTTCTTAGATTTTCTAATAGATATAGAGGGATAGCTGAAACAAACGAGCTACAATCTAACTGAAGACATGTAGGTACTACGTCTGTTCAGTTTAGGTCTATGTTTTACTATGCATTAAAATTAAGGACGTCGAGTATCAACTCTGATATCTCGACACCTCGGATATCTCGACATTTTCTGACGGTCCCGTCGATGTCGAGATAACGAAGTTTACCTGTATTGCATGTAGTTGAGTGTAACATTGAAATTTTTCAACCCAAGAGGCTGCGCCTCGGTTGACAATGGTTTTCTTGGGGTGAACATTTTCAATGTTACACTCAACTACATGCAATATTTATATAATACAGTATACCTGAGTTGATTTTCTTTGCTGTAGGATTGAAGTTCAAATGCAGAATCTGAAATATATATAATGAACAGTTATCTAAAAAAGGAAACAAACTAGACAATTTATGTCACTTAACTTTGAAAGAGCTAAACCCAAAATAGGTAAATATTTTACCCTTCGTGGGCTTACTGCTTTATAAGAGATTCATGCATTATAAAAACAAACCGCATAACTTTTTATGACCAAGCTGCTTATCCTAATTAAAGTCCCGACTGAAAATAATTTACAACGTATACAATCCACTATGAAAAACAGCCATTATATAGAGATCCAAACTTTTAATGCATCAACTTTCAGTATTTGATCACTGTACTGTTTTTTCTAATTGTTTTGTTTACGAAGTATTTTACTGGATTTTATATTTTATTTTACATTTTCAATGATTAGATGTATCAGATTTACAGGTTACAATCGCGTCGCGTTTTAATGATTGATTGTTTACTGTTTAACATCCCTCTCCAGAATATTTCACTGATATGGAGACGTCACCATTACCGGTGAAGGGCTGCAAATTTAGGCCTATGCTCGGCACTTACGGCCCTTGAGCAGGGAGGGATCCCTATCGTGCCACACCCGCTGTGACACGGGGCCTCGGTTTATACGGTCTCACCCGAAGGACCGCCCCATTTAATCGCCTTTTACGACAAGCAAGGGGGTACTGAGGACCTATTCTAACCCGGATCCCCACGGGAAGCGTCGCGTTTTAAAAGATCGAGGGGTTACCATCTATATCCTTCTGTATCCAATAATCCAGAAGTGAAAAAAGAATTAGATAGATTACATGATCAGTACGTACTGGTCCCTGCCGACAAAGCAGATAACAACATTGTCTTCGTTTGTAAGGCTCATTATATAAATTGTATTCTAGAAGAACTTGGATTTAATTCTACAAGTGGTAATCTAACTTATATACTCATAATTTCCTTCCCACGGGGGGAAATTCTTCAAAATATTTTGATTCGTTAAAAAGAAATCAACTTGAAATTATAGTTTGTCCCGAACGAAAACGACAAAAACGATGGCGTTATAGAACGTCACGGAGCAGCAGATTACGCTGCAATTTTGTGTTTCACTTAAGAAAAAATCCTGAATAAACTTTTAAAATGTTGGAAGAATTTTAAAAAATGTCTGAAGTTGCGTTTGTGTGGAAAAATAGTACAGGCAATAGTCGAATGACAGAGACTCTGTATCGGATGAGGACAATCTGTGAAAAAAACGGTTTAACTGTAAAAATCTTAACAAAACTTTAAAAGTTAATTAGAACATGGGCGCTTCAGAGTTGCTGAAGAAAATGTGGTTGTTTGTGTCTGAATAATTCACAAAATATGGGGGAAATGATAATTGTAGATATAATAATTAAATGAATATACATTATATTCGAGAAAATTTGTCAACCTGTCTTCCTGTCCACATGTAGACCTGTTAACCTGTCGATTTTTTTAATTTGTACGTAAACAAACGTTAAACTTTGTTGTTGTTTTAGATGTATTTGTATGTTTATGAATATGTATTAAAAATAATTTGTACTGTGATAGGGTGATTTATTTGTTATATTAATTATTATATTTCAGGATTAAATTAATTCAGTTGAATTATCATATTATTTTCTTTTCAGCATTTTATTTATTGAATAAATCTACATGGAATTCTTTACATTAATTTGTGTTCATTGAGTTATTTATAGATGTATGACATCACAGTGGTCATTCAAACCCCTGTCCCTTTTCTATTTATATCTTGTGTAGTGTCAGGGCCAACTTGGATTTCATTGGTTGGTTAGTTTCCCTCTCTTTTTGTTTTTAGCTTAGTTAATTACTTTGGTTTGAGATCTTGGTCTGACCAGCAGACATATTGGTGTTTGATATATTGAATGAGAACCTGAATACCTGACCAAAAGATTCAGGTTTAAAAAAAAAAAAAAAAGAAACCGCAAGACGACAAAGCTCACCTGAGTAACTTCGGCTCTTCTATTCTTCACAAGATTCCCCCTTGTAATACATAATTTGCCCCCATTCTACCCCATTTAAGTTTCATTTTTTCTGGTTCACTGATCTTGAAAAGAAGATTTCTGAAGATTTTCCTATATAATTTAATGTAAGACTTTGATTCCCTATTGTAGCCTCGCCTCGCCAGTGGTCATGATTTGAAAAATTTTGAATCTACACTACATAAAAATGCCTCTATAAAAGATTAAGCTTTTTTGGCCCATTGGTTCTACAGAACATTTTTAATAGAAAACTATTATAACACTCCATAGAAGCTGCAGCTTTTCTGGTGAAGTGTTTCTGGAAAAGAAGGTATTTCAGGATTTTCCCATTGTACCGGTATATTTCTATGTAAAACTCTGATTCCCTACTGAGATTCCATCCTTCACCTTGGGGTCATGATTTAATAATTTAGAATCTACACTACATGAAGATGCTTCCAATATGTAACAACTATTCTGACCAAGTGTTTCTCGTGAAGAAGAATTAAAAAAAAGCATATATTTCAAAGCAATGAATGGACTCATAAAAATTTGTATATAGACTTTTGAAATAAATCAAAACAAATGCTTTGATCTGTCTATCAACTCTTGTATCGATCAGTTAAAAAAAATTAAACATCAGTTTTTAGAGTCTTTTATTATGCAGTGTTGGTGTGCCTAACAATAACAAACACTAATGCCTTAAAATGTCCCCAAAAGAGTCTTTATAATTAAACCTACCAAACATTTTACTGTTGTGTCTCATCAGCCCCCTCCTTAATAATGAAATACCAAATTCTGTACAAGTACATTTATCTAAAATTTGATCATTTTTGGTAAAAGAAAATTATTGTTCACCCTCTGATTAAAATCAGTATGGAAATACAATGTGTAATTTAACAAAAAATCTTATTGTTTAATCCACTCTACTCAAGGGGCAGTGAGTAATACTGGCCAAAAAAGGAATGTTCGGTAAAAATGTCAGTAACAGTTCTAGCTTTGTCATGTGATCGGGGAGTCGCTGTTTTTACGAAGAGGCTCAACAATAATGGGAAATGATTCCTCTGACGACACAACCACAGTATCCACACTCACATTGATCAAACACTGACTCTGGAAGATAGATAATTCAGTTGAATTTCTTCTCTAATGTCAAAATACTATGGAAATATCTTGCTGAATTAAAATAATCATAAAAAATATTTTAACGTCTGTATTCAGAAACTTAAAGTATATAGTCTTTTTAAAACCCAATTAAGTTTTAGAGATCGAGATTTGACTGTGCTTGGAGAAGTTGCTAATTGTTATAAAATGGGAGAAAATTCATTTTCTTGAAAAAAAATGTAGTACATGCATTGAATTTTGAGTTCTTTTTTATATCTTCAAATACTGGTAAATCCATGTGTTCAAACTTCAAAACTACTTTCCTACCCAGAGAGGCTACATTATCTCTGACATTGGCCATCACCTTGGCAACAAATGTCTGCATAAATCCTCCTTGTCTTCCAATCTTACAAAGTGAAAGTAGAAAATTATTCACAACCAATCAAATTCTGAAGGTAACTGGCTTCTGAAGAATGCTGCATCAACAGTTCTTTTTTTTTTGATAGCAAACACAGGAGCTTTTATCATTAGATGAGAATTTTGAAGGAATCATTAAGTTTTTATCAGATTTACCTCTCTTAATGAAATGGATTCTCTAATAAAGAAGAAGTTGTAGTTGCCCAGGCATCGTTCAATCTTGAAGCCTGGTATACTAGGCAGTGGTGTAAGCTCCACAGAGTTCTTGTGTTTTTGAACAGAGTGACTATAAAAAAATCACAAAGTTAATTCATGTTAACCGTCAAAGGACTTCTTTTTTAAAACCTCACCATAGACAGTCTTCCTGTAATTCTCAACATTATTAAACTCAAAGCAGCAACATCGAACTTATCCAGTCTACTTTTCATCTAGCTAACAAGGAATATACTGTACTTGTGAGGATAAACTTTTACTTGGCTGCTGAGTTCTTGTAACAAAAATCCTTTACTCACATGTTCAAGAGATCTTCGAACTGAGTTTTCCTTGGTCTGTCTAGTGAGGGAAACTGCAATATAAAACATCATAAGCTCATTCTCAGTGTTCCCATTTAAGTTCCCTTATAAATATAGTGTCACCCTTTTGTGTATCTTTGTTAAATCCCCATTATAAGCATAATAGATTTTTCTTTTTGTCCCCATAGTATATTCCTGCCATTAGCATACTCTTTGTCTGACCCATCATAAGCTTACCCTTTGTGTGCCTCTGTATATCTGTATAAACCTCATCATTAGATTACCTTTTGTGTGCCTCTTTGTATATCTGTATAAACCCCATCATTAGCTTACCCTTTGTGTGCCTCTGTGTATATCTGTATAAACTCCATCATTAATTTACCCTTTGTGTGCCCCTGTAAGTTCCCCATCATTATCTTACCCTTTGTGTGCCCCTGTAAGTCCCCCATCATTATCTTACCCTTTGTGTGCCCCTGTAAGTCCCCCATCATTGTCTTACCCTTTGTGTGCCCCTGTAAGTCCCCCATCATTATCTTACCCTTTGTGTGCCCCTGTAAGTATTCCATCATTATCTTACCCTTTGTATGTCCCTGTAAGTTCCCTATAATTATCCTACCCTGTGTGTGCCCCTGTATATTTCTCCATCATTAGCTTACCCTTTGTGTGCCCCTGTAAGTTCCCCATCATTACCTTATCCTTTGTGTGCCCCTGTAAGTTCCCCATCATTAGCTTACCCTTTGTGTGCACCTGTAAGCTTCCCATCATTATCTTACCCTTTATGTGCCCCTGTAGTTTCCCATCATTAGTTTACCCTTTGTGTGCCCCTGTAAGTTCCCCATCATTAGCTTACCCTTTGGGCACCCTTGTAAGTTTCCATTATTATCTTACCCTTTGTGTGCCCCTGTAAGTTCCCTATAGATCCCTCTGTTGAGAACTCCTCCATTTGAAACATCATGTCGTCTCTCTCACTGGTCCCACTGCTGCTTGTGGTTGTAGCAGACACTGAAATAAAAATTCACTGATTAGACCAACTTTATAATTAATGTCAATTTGCACTTCTCCCAACTTGTGTTGAAAAAAAATTATCTCCCACTAATTTTCAAATTTCATGGTGAATTTTCACAATTTATTATCCCTAATGCATAGAAAATAATTTCCTCCTGGAGGTCAAAAAAGTTGTGAGTCAGGCCATTTTTAGCCAGTCAATAGAGAGAGAGAGAGAGCAATCCTTTATTGAATAAAAAGATAATCCAGTTTAGCGCCATATGACGTCAGCAGGCAACAGTCCATTTTAACAGTTCCAGGACTGAGAGTAGGGAAAAACAGTCAAACTGTTGGACTTTTTAAATTAAAAGAAATTATACCGTATAGCAGGTAATTTTAGTGGGTGCTAATTTTGGCTTATTTTGGCGTTTTGATGATGGTCCGCTAAAATTTTAACCGTTAAAATAATCAGTACCCTTCTTATTGTTCATCTGCAAAAAGCTAAAACCTGCGTCTACTAAAATAAATTACGCCAAAATTATTGGCATACCTTTGAGCGGGCAAAACGCCAAATTTTACACCCGCCAAAAAACCAAGTATACGGTATAGGGACTGTTTAGTAGGGATATTACAATACCTACTGATGACCCCTCCCTTTCATGCTCATGCCTTCAAGTATTTTAAACTATCCATCACTCTAAAAATAAAGCACACTTATTACCTGCAGGCATTAAGAAGCCATGAAGAAAACAAAACGACAGACAGACAGACATGCTGACAATTAAGGAACACATATACATATAATCTACTCTGGTTTCACACTGTCTTGTCCTGTCCAATTTCAATGGTAAGAATGACCAATGAGATTGATAATATTGGTTCGCATACATAATATATTTTTTCTAATGCTGTTTTTTTTCCAGCCATACACTTTAATGCCTAATTCGGAACAAGTAAATTGATCTTTTCTAGGAAGGGGCTTCCTAAGCTTTCCCAATGGACCCGAGGTTGAGTGCCCAGGATGTCCTGCGCTGTGACCTGTGTGAGACTCCTGTTCCTCTATTGTACTGCGACTTATGTCATGTCAAAGTCTGTAAAGCCTGTGTAGGGGAGCATCTCTCTGATTTATCCAAAGAACATAAAGTTGTGCCATTCAAACAAAAGGGAACTACACCAAAATGTCCAACTCATGATGGAAAACTGTGTTAATTTCACTGTAAAGAATGTGACCTTCCTGTTTGTTCGTTCTGTCTGACATCCAACTTCCACAAAGTACATACTTTATTGAATTCACTGGAGATAATGAAAACCAAACAGAAGGCCATACAAAAAGATGTTGATGAATTGGCTAATTCACTTTGCCCAAAGTATGAAGAAATTTCAGCAGAGATACAGAGGGACAAAACAAACCTAGAAAAGCAATATGAGAATCTGACAACAGCTGTCTCCAAACAAGGAGAAGACTTGCACAGAGAAATTAACATCATTGTCAACAAACAGAAATCTGAAATTGATGAGATGAAAACTAAACACTGGGCCGTTCTAAATAAACAGGACAATGAAATCAAACAGATCATTTCTGAGGTAAAACCGTGCATACTAGATCTGAAAGACATATTGAAATCCAATGATGTCTCACAAACCTTTGCATACAAATCCAGGAATGCTGAATTCAAAACATTACCTCCTAGAGTCACTGTTTCTTTACCAAGTATCTCTCCTCATAAGATTGGTGCAGACAAGCTCCATCAAATGTTTGGTTCTCTGTCAGCTTTATCCACAACAACAGAAGAACATGGCTACACAATGAAGACACCAGTGGCTGTATCCTGTCCTCTAGTCAAACCACTGCTTGATGACCAAAGCTCATTACCAGCATAAACACAGGGTATAAATATTTAAACGGGCTTACAAGTGTTACCTGTCTTAAAAATGAGGAAATCTGGACATGTGGAGATAACAAAATCATGAAACTTTACAACCTCCAAGGCAAACTACTGAAATCAATCAAAACCAAGTCTGGAAACTATCCACTTGATACAGCAGTGACAAGGAGTGGAGATCTACTTTACACTGACCCTGGTACAAGAACTGTAAACACAGTGAAGAATGACCAGATACAGGAAGTAATCAGACTACAGGGGTGGGAACCTTACAACATCTGTAGTACCTCCTCTTGTGACCTCCTGGTTACCATGGTCAGTGATGAACAATCAAAAGTTGTCCGTTACTCTGGATCAACAGAAAAACAAACCATTCAGTCTGATAGTAAAGGTAAACCTCTGTATTCATCTGGTGTCTTCAGTAAATACATCAGTGAGAACAGGAACCTGTATATCTGTGTAGCTGACTATAGAGCCAAAGCAATAGTGGTGGTTAATCAGGCTGGAAAACTGAGATTTAGATACACTGGTCATCCCTCTACTACCAGGGGATTATTCCATCCAAAGGGCATCACAACAGACAGCCAGAGTCACATCCTGACATCAGACTGTGACAACCACTGTATCCACATCCTAGATCAGGACGGACAGTTCCTCCGTTACTTTGATAACTGTTATGTACAGAATCTAGGTGGTTTATGTGTAGACACCAAAGACAACCTCTTTGTGGCTGAGTATGGTAGTGGTGAAGTTAAGAAAATCAAATACATGTGAACAATTAGGGAAGTGCATGTGATGAGATTATAAACCTTGTAGACAGATGAAAGTAACATTATACTTTGATGTCTGTTTCATAGTTTGTTACTTAAAATTTCCTTCCACTTGCAAAATAAAAGTGGTATTTATACACATACCTGCTTTGAGTAGATTTTCTTTGTTGTAGGTTTGAAGTTCAAATGCAGAATCTGAAACATTCTCTAAAGAACAGCACACACCAGTCAGTGTTATCTGAAAAGAAAATAAACAGTTAATGTCATTTGATTTTGAAGTTTATAAGATTCATTCATTAATAAAAACATGCATCACTTGTTCTTATGGCCTATATTACTTACCTGTATTTCTCTGTCCTCTGGAAGATCTACACCAAAGTCTATACCACACAGACAGCAGGGGGACATCTGTCACCTGTCCTACCTGTACTTACCTGTATTTCTCTGTCCTCTGGGAGATCTACACCAAAGTCTATACCACACAGACAGCAGGGGGACATCTGTCACCTGTCCTACCTGCACTTACCTGTATTTCTCTGTGAGAGATCTACACCAAAGTCTGTACCACACAGACAGCAGGGAGACATCTGTCACCTGTCCTACCTGCACTTACCTGTGTTTCTCTGTGGGAGATCTACACCAAAATCTATACCACAAAGACAGCATGAAAACAATTGGTGTAACTTGTAACAGATTTGTCTAAAATCCACAGACCAAACATCTAGATACATGACATAATAAAGTAAAACCAGTGAATTAACTGTCAGCTTGATACAATACAGATCTTCATTGATAAAATTATCAGACTAATACTATATCGTATCTTGTTTCAATAAAAGGCAATGAGAATGTCATCACATTGTTCTAGTATTTAGGGTATGGTTGCACAAGTTTTCGGCAACTTCAAGAAATACATTAATTTGCTTTTGGAAAAGATACTGGGAGTATGAAATAAATAAAAAAAAAGGTATATTTCACCAAGTTGTACCATTCTTCATTAAAAAAACTCGCAAATATCAGAAGTTTAAAGTTAATATCCTTTCTGAAAGATACATTTTTCTTCGATTTGCTTTAAAAGCCTCATCTTTTAAGTAACCTAGTTATTTTAACATCTTTCCAGATGGCCCGTATAAAAGGTGGAATTGTCAAATATAGCATTATGAATGTGTTTGAGGAGGGCTTCTGTGCAATTGTTGGACTAAATGGGTTTCTAGGCTTACATTACTGTATGTATCTGGGTTTTTTTCGCATTGATCTATTTTTGCATTTTTTGCAATCATTTTTATTCGCAAAATATAAAACACGCAGAAATTATGTCAGCTATAATGTGACATTAAACATTACCATTTCAAAAAAAAATCTTCAATCGTAAAAAAATAACACGCAAAATATAAACTGTACTAATCTACCTCTTTTTCACAAAATTTCCAACACGCGAAAAAAAAAACGGATATACGGTATATCGTTGCAAACCATGGACTAAATGTACGATCCTTTCCTACTCTAACTATGCTTTCATGAGATGAGAATAGTTTGATCCTCATTAACATATTGACATGCTTAGTCGGAAAATGTCATCTTTTGTGATCTTTCAGGTAATTCTTTTAAGATAATTCAGTTTACCTATAATTTTTTGTTTATTCATTAAATTTAAATTAAAATTTTATTAATAAAAGTAATTTTTCCCATTTTTAAACATTATGGGAATATAAACAATTATTCTTGTCGGTTTCTAAAATGATATCACACATATTAATGTGTGATCTGCAAGCAGCCACAGGTAAGAGAGTGCTATATGCAGACTCTGAACCATGGCTTGAGATAATGGATTCCTCAAGATTAAAATACGATACAAATAATGTGAATATTTCTAATAAAGTGTAGTACAAATGTATAAACCTGTCTCTAACCAATTACTTAAAACAGTTAAAAAGCAGTTTTTATATTCTTTTATTATGCAGTGTTGGTGTGCGTAAAATTACACACACTTATGCTGTAAAATCTCACCAAAACAGGTTTTATAATTATAACTACAATACAGTTTACTGTTGGTTTACATCTGTCTCCTTTTAAGCAATGAAATACTGTACAAGTACATGTATCTATAATTCGTTCATTTTTTGTAAAAGAAAATAATTGTTCACCCTCTGATTACATGTATATGGAAATACAATGTATAATTTAACAAAAAATCTATAGTGTAAACCACTCTGCTCAAGGGGCAGTGAGAATACTGGCCAGAAAGGAATGCTCGGTAAAAATGTCAGTAACAGCTCTAGTACTCTCACGTGATCGTTGAGTCACTGTTTGTACGAAGAGGCTCGACAATAATGGGGAACGATTCCTCTGACGACACAACCACAGCATCTCCACTCACATTGATCAAACACTGACTCTGTAACATAAATAATTCAGATGAATTTTGGTATCTCAAATATAAAAAAAATTAAATGCCATGGATATGTCAAAGTGAAATGAGATAATCATCTTTTTAAATGAGTATTTAACCTCCATATTCTGAATCCATTTACATATGGGTATACATGGGCGTCGGAAGCAAACTGCAAGTGGGGGGCTATTCGAAAGGGGGCGGGGCTAAACCAACAAAAAAAGTAAATTCCAATTTTCAATGCCTATATAACGTATATAGAACTACGCCCCCTCCTAGCCCCAACCCTGGTAACGACTCCTATGGGTACCCCCCCTCGGTTCTGACTCCTATGGGTATATATAGGTATATGAAAGGGTATTTACACCTTTGTATTCTGAAATTTCAAATATTTAGTCTTTTTAAACCCGTTAAGTTTCAGGGAGTGAGGTTTCACTGAGCCTAGAGAAGTTGAAAAGTTTTAAGGAATTATGAAAGATTAATTTTCTGTGTTGCATTGTATTAGATTAATTTTCACCAGAAGGTCTATGTAGGTTTAAACTACCTAAACTAGAAAACCCATGCATCTGAACTTGAGGCGTATTGCGTACCTGGTTTTTGCGTGGGTTACACATCAGAACACATTGGTTCATTCTATAAGACACTAATCCATTCCCTCCCAGAGAGGCCACATTGGCTCTCACATTGGCCATCACCTCAGCAACAAATGTCTGCATAAAGCCTCCCTGTCCTCCAATCTTACAAAGTGAAAGTAGAAAATTATTTATATCCAGCCAAATTCTAAAGAATTCTGGCTTCTAAAGAAATTCTGACCAAAAATACTTCATATAGTTTGCTATTAACACAGTAGCTGGTTTAATTATATTAAAGAATTTTGAAAGAATCAATTTATTAAAAGATTTACCTCTCGTAATGAAGTAAATTCACTGATAAAGAAGAAGTTGTAGTTGCCCAGGTATCGTTCTATCTTGAAGCCTGGTATACTGGGCAGTGGTGTAAGCTCCACACAGTTCTTGTGTTTCTGAACTGTCTATAAAAAGTAACCAATAACCCAATTCATGTTAACCAGTAAAGGACTTCTTTTATCAAAAATCATCACCAGAGGTTATCTTCCTTTATCATTTTTGAATTAAATACCAACATGGACAATCTTCCATAAATGCTACACAATATTAAATACTGTACTTGTCAGGATAAACTTTGACTTGGCTACTGAGTTCTTGTAATATGAATCATTTCCTTACATGCTCCAGAGATCTTCGAACTGAGTTTTCCTTTGTCTGTCTAGTGAGAGGAACTACAATATAAAATATCATCAGCTTATTCTTCGTCTTCCCATGTAAGTTTCCTTATAAATAGTGTCACCCTTTTGTGTACCTTTGTAAAATCCCCAATATAAGCATGATTAGGTTTTCCTTTTTGTGTCCCAGTATATTTCTGCCATAACCTAACCTTTGTGTGCCCCCTGAAGTTCCCCATCATTAACTTAACCTTTGTCTGCTCATATAAGTTCTCTATCATTAACTTACCCTTTGTGTACCCCTGTAAGTCAACCATCATTACCTTACACTTTGTGTGCCCCTGAAAGTTCCCTATTATCATCTTTCCCTTTGTGTGCCCTTGTAAGTTTCCTATCATTATCTTCCCCTTTGTGTGCCCCTGCAAGTTCATATTATTATCTTACCTTTCAAGTGCCCCTGTAAGTCCCCTATCATTATCTTACCCTTTGTGTGCCCCTGTAAGTTCCCCATCATTATCTTACCCTTTGTGTGCCCCAGTAAATTCCCTATTACTATCTTACCCTTTGTGTGCCTCTGTAAGTTCCCCATCATTGCTTTATCCTTTGTGTGCCTCTGTAAGTTCCCTATCATTACCTTATCCTTTGTGTGCCTTGTAAGTTAGGCTTCATTAGCTTACCCTTTGTGTGCCTTGTAAGTTTCCCATCATTAGCTTACCCTTTGTGTTCCCCTGTAAGTTCCCCATTACTACCTTCATACCTTTTGTGTGCCCCTGTAAGTTCCCTATAGATCCCTCTGTTGAGAACTCCTCCATTTGAAACATCATGTCGTCTCTCTCACTGGTCCCACTGCTGCTTGTGGTTGTGGCAGACACTGAAAAAAAAAATCAGAGATCAGGCCAACTTTATATTAATGTCAGTTTACCCTCTTCCAAATTCATACCGAAAAAATATGGGTTGGTAGGTATATGTATGTTGTTTCCCAGAAATTTTCAACATCAATGCTGAATTTTTAATAATTTATTATCCCTGAGGCATTAATATAAATTGCTTCCTGCCAGTTCCTGGAGGTTAAAAAGTTCTGAGTCAGGCCACTTTTAGCCAGTTATTGTAAAGGTATTACATTTAGCGGTGTATTCTATGAAGCGATTTTGGCGGAAAGCTGAGTCTGCTAATTCAAGTCCATCGCTAAATGTCTTGTATATTTTTAACTTTTATAACTAGCAAAATCAGACAGGGCTAAATCAAATCTACGCTAACTTGTTGAAAGTTGAATTTCGGCCAAATATCATACACGTCAAATGTAATACATTTACAGTGATAGAGAGGGCAACCCTTTTTTAAAAGATGGCCTCTAACTTGATTAGCAGTCCACTGTGCCACATTATAACAAGAATATTCATCTCATCACAGTGTAAAGTATCGATTATCATTATTACTTCATCTTCAAACAGTCCTTGTTAACTTTTAAAATAAAAATAATTTTTTTTACCCTTGAAAATTAAATGTGATACATAAAGTGAAGTAAGCTCACTTGTATTATTGATTTTTTTAAAATCAGTAATATTAGAAAATTATCCTCTTAATAGAAGTCTCAGAATTTCTATTTACCGTTTATGGATTTTAAAAAAATATATAACTAATGCATATTTTCAATGTTTAGAAATGATGGCCTTTACCTTCAGACATTTAAATCAATACCTAAGATACTGGTTATAAATAGACCAGGAAGATTGAAAAACCAATAGGTAAACAAATGACAGCCATGTTGGATAAACTACCTGTTTAATTAGGTATGCTTTTTAAAAAGTTTTATTTTATATAAAACTCAAACAATATTAACAGTTATTAAGTTTATTATATAGAAAAGACACATTGGATCATGGGGACTGACAACTGACTTACAATGCATTAATGAAACTGATCTCCAGGAATTGGAGATAGGCAAAGTATACATGGTAACACATAAGAAGCAAACAAGTAATAAGAAATGCACGACTGTTATTTTATACATTTTCTCTGGATTCTACTTTCTTGGATGTATATGGTAACTATCTTTTCAGGTTTGGGTTTTGTTTGGTAATTTCCTTTTTTCCATGAACATGTTGTAATGAATTTAAAATACATGTTTAATCTACAATTAAGTATTTAGGATAAAATTATAACATTCAATAAGTTCCTAATAATGACCCTCCCCTTTCATTTTCATGCTTTCATTGAAAGCATGAAAATGAAAGGGGAGGGTCATTATTAGGAACTTATTGAATGTTATAATTTTATCCTAAATACTTAATTGTAGTATTTTAAACTCTCTATTATTCTAAATATAACGCAAACTTATTACCTGCACGCATTTAGAAGCCATGAACAAAACCAAATGACACAAACAGACAGACATGCTGACAAATACGGAACACATATACATAAAATCTACTCTGGTTTCACACTGTCCTGTCCAATTCCAATGGTAAGAATGGCCAATGAAATTGATAATACTGGTTCTGCATACAAAATGTATTTTTTCTTTTGCTGCTTTTTTTTCCATCATTACACTTAATTTCTTAAATTTGAACAAGGAAATTGATCTTTTCTAGGTAGAGGCTTTCTGAGCTTTTCCAATGGACCCTCGGCTTAGTGCCCAGGATGTCCTGCGCTGTGACCTGTGTGAGACTCCTGTTCCTCCAATGTACTGTGACTTATGTCATGTCAAACTCTGTAAGGCATGTGTAGGGGAGCATCTCTCTGATTTATCTAAAGAACATAAAGTGGTGCCATTCAAACAGAAAGGAACTACGCCAAAATGTCCAACTCATGTCGGAAAACTCTGTGAATTTCACTGTAAGGAATGTCACCTTCCTGTTTGTTCAGTCTGTCTGACATCTAATTTCCACAAAGGACATACTTTATTGAATTCACTGGAGATAATGAAAACAAAACAGAAGGCTATACAAAAAGATGTTGATGAATTGGCTAATTCACTTTGCCCAAAGCATGAAGAAATTGTAGCAGATATACAGAGAGAAAAAACAAACCTAGGAAAGCAATACAAGAAACTGACAACAGCCGTCACCAAACAAGGAGAAGACTGGCACAGAGAAATTGACATCATTGTCAACAAACAGAAATCTGAAATTGATGTGATGAAAATTAAGCACTCGACTATTCTAGATAAACAGGAAAATGAAATCAAACAAATCATTTCTGAAGTAAAACAGTGCATACTTGATCTGAAAAAAATACTGGACACAAATGATGCCTCCCTGACCTATTCATACAAATCCAGGAATGCAGAATTCAAAACATTGCCTCTTAAAGTCAAAGTTTCATTACCAAGTTTCTCTCCTCTTCCAATCAAAACAGATCAACTTTATCAGATGTTTGGTTCTCTGTCAGCATTATCCATAACAACGGAAGGACATGGCTACACATTGGAGACACTAGAAGTTGTATCCTGTCCTTTAGTCAAACCACTGCTTGATAAACCAGAGACCATGATCTCCATAGACACTGGGTACAAAGGTTTAAAAAGTGTTACCTGTCTCAGTAATGAAGAAATCTGGACGAGTGGAGAAAACAAAATTATGAAATTCTACAACCTCCGAGGCAAACTACTGAAGTCAATCGAAACCAAGTCAGGGAAAGAACCATGGGATATAGCAGTGACAAGAAGTGGAGATCTAGTCTTTACTGACTTTATGAATGACACAAGAACTGTAAACATAGTGAAGAATGACCAGATACAGGAAGTGATCAGACTACAGGGGTGGAAACCTTGCAACATCTGTAATACCTGCTCTGGTGACCTCCTGGTTACCATGTACAGTGATAATGATAAACAATCAAAAGTTGTCCGTTACTCTGGTTTCACACAGAAACAAACCATTCAGTTTGATAGTAAAGGTGAACCTTTGTATTCATCTGAAGACAACATTAAATACATCAGTGAGAACAGGAACCTGGATATCTGTGTAGCTGACTGGGCAGCCAAAGCAGTAGTGGTGGTTAATCAGGCAGGAAAACTCCGATATAGATACACTGGTCATCCCTGTACTGCCAAGGGATTTTTTCAACCTTGGGGCATCACAACAGACAGCCAGAGTCAGATCCTGACATCAGACTTAAGCAACAACGGTATCCACATCCTAAATCAGGACGGACAGTTCCTCTATTTCATTGATAACTGTGATCTACGTTGTCCATGGGGTTTATGTGTAGACACCAAAGACAATCTCTTTGTTGCTCAATTTAGCGGTAGTAAAGTGAAGAAAATCAAATACATGTAAACAATTATGGAAGTGCATATGATGGGAATATAAATCTTGTAGACAGTAACATGATACTTTGATGTCTAATTCATTTCAGAATATCTTCCTACTTTCAACCGCAGTAGACGGAGGAAGATAACACCATCTTTATGGCACGCCGATTGGTTCAAAAGTATTTTCTGCACGACCTTAAACAAAAATTACATGAGTGAGTCAAAACGTACACAAAGTGCGGAAAATACACACAAAGTTATTGAAATTTACACAAACTATACAAAAACTACACAACCAGCAAAATATTTACACGATATAACGAGAACATTACACAAACGTAAAAACGAAAACTGCACAAGTGATAATACAACATCGACATAATATAACGACGCATCCTCATTGCGCACATTTCATTAATATTCATTAGAGAACAGATCAGTGTGGCTTGGACGCTTGAAACGTTATAAAACAAGAGGATGAGTAATGTGTAAACATAATATTAATCTTTTTAAAAAGATTCAGTCTTTCAGAATTACGCTAGACTCTCAAGAATATGCCTAACGTGTTATATACATGTAAAAATTGACAGGCACACAATATGCATATAGATTAACATCCCCGATTGAAATATAGATAACGTTAAAAGGGGGGTGCATCAAGCGTCCGTAAAAAAATATTGAAGCATTTTAAATTATTTCAACAATACTGAATAGTCAAAAATAAAGTTATTTGACCAGTTCCGAATAAGAAACCGATTCGGCGGTGCTTTAAATAGACTAGGCATTATTCAAAATCCAATTGTTTTATCAAGGTAGTTCGATGACTTGTGGAATTAAATATTGTTTCATAAAAGTTCAGCCTTCCCTCAAAAAAATTTATTTCGCAAGTTACCATAGGTGTCCATTTTACCAGTTACGAATAAGCCGACGAGTTCCGGATACCCTAGAGATTCTTATTCAATTCAACCCTAAATTAAAAAATATACTCCCCAGACGTTATCCACTGGCATGCCCAAGAAAAGTTAAATTAATTGCTTACCAATAAATCATTTGTAATTCCAAAGGTTGCAGAGAAACTAGAGGTACTGTGGGCACTGAGTTCATTTTAATGATACCCCACACCTCCTTTATGGTTATTTATGACAAAATCCATGTTTTGCTCTGGGAGACCCGAAATAAGTGTCTGATCAAAAAGTAAAATAAAACGTCACAAAGTAATAAAGAATCGTTGAAAGTATCATTAAATCGTACTCAGTGGTATAGGAGGAATTCTGGATAAGAGATGGATAATAGTATACCTTTCAATATTACAAAGAATGGCAGTATCTATGTTTTTCTCAGGGAGCCCAGATTATTTGCCAGATCCAAAAATAAAATAGGTGCACTTTGTCACTGTTAAACAAAAATTCTGTAAAGGACTCGTTAAATTCTGTGAAACCTCATTAAACTTCATTCAGTGTCAGAAGAGGAGTTGCGGATAAGAAATAGATACCCCAGAGCGTATCTGACGGACGTACAGACAGCCGGATGTGTATACAGACGGATGGATGGACAAACATCCCATGACTATATACCCCTTCTTCCTGTTTTTCAAGCGCGGGTATAATAAGTCACGTTTACAATGAAGAAAACAACGAAGAGTGAATTTATAATAGTGTTTAAAATGGGTATTCGGAACTGGTAAAATAAGAGCACGAAAATATTTCGATATCTTCCAGTGTTCTAAATATTTATTTTTGACAAGTTTTTAGTATATGTTAGAGTACATATCAAACTTACTTTTGATACCTGGAACGTTGTTTTATGTGAAAAATGTATATATGTATCTACAGAGGTTTTTCTGCAGACTTACGCGTCGCGGTGATTCAGATTTGTTGCATTGTAAATGTATGTAGACTGTTTCAAGTACGATAACGAAACCAAACTGACCGCAAAAAATCAAAACTTCCCATAATTTAAACACTCATAAATAAGCCTCTCTACCATAGATAACAATTTATTTTTACGCCGTTGAATTTATTAATTATCAGTCCTTAAATTACTAATTATTCGGAACTGGCCAAAATCCGAAACTGGCCAAACGACTGTACTTTTGGGGGTTAATGACGTATTTTTAATCCAAAGAAGAAAAGTGTAAAAAAAAATTATCTCAAAAACGTATCATTTATTAATGATTGACACAAATTGTATAATTCAACACAAATGTTACTGCAAATACATGTACGCTATAAATCATATATTTGAAAATCAGAGAGTACAGGATAGCATCAAAAGATAAATAGAATATTTTATACTAAAATGTATATATATATATATATATATCTGACATTAAGGGCGTTAATTCTACGGATGTTTATTTCATTTACATAGAGTTTTGTCATATGACGTTGTTACAAACATGATGCCAATCTTCAATTTGAAAAACTTGTAAACACAGAATGAATTTGTTATTAAATATGATCACCAAAAGATTTTATCTTTCAGTGTTGCACGTAAATGAGAGGAATTTTAGCGACAATTTAAGTGTTTACATTTTTTTTCAAATACAATGTATACATTTTCCAGCAAAAGTATAGTACGTGTACATTTAGAGTTTAAATTTCATCGGAAAGCTCGATTACGATCTCCCTTCCAATAAATTGCAATTTATACGCAAATACGACCTCTTACAGATTCCTACAAGGCGATGGGGAAAGAAATTAATTTTACACGAAAAATATTTTCTTGCAATTTCGTGTACAGTACTGTAAGTGAAATTGATTGATCTTTTGACATACGAAGATAATGTATCATGCTTGAAAAAAGGCATGAGACAATGTTGAATTTCATATCCCAGCGGGGTTCACATATTCAAGACTCACATACTTTTTGACAACTGTGCTCGACCTAGCGCTATCGCACTGTCAAAATATCGCTTAAAATGCAATATAACAGGACAATTTAAATTAAAATAATTCGGATGAATTTCAAATCAATATGCTTAGCGCTTCCCAGTACTTTCAGTACTTTGGTTGATTTTTGTTTGTACATATTATACCCCTAAATCGTGCAAAAAATGTCGGATTCATGTATTTTTCATTTTGTTTGTGTTAAAATCTTTCAAACTATGTGCAATTTTTACCTATACGTGCATTTTTATTTAACTCGTGTAATTTTTTCATCTAGCTCGTGTATAAAATCTTGATCGTTGTGCAGAAAATACTTTTGAACCAATCGGCGTGCATACATCTTGATCTTTGATTCATATAGTTTGTTACTTATGCCCTGTTCACACGAAGATTTTAATTCGAGTAAAACGTAAAGTTACTGCGAATTAGCCTTACTGACGCCTGGCCTAGAAGTATAGAATTTCAATTAGTTTTCTTCACATTATCTGTCGTGTGAACGCAATTTAATTCGCATTATTTTGATTCGCATTAGTTTACTTAGCATTAATTTACTGCGAATTATACACGTCATGTGTACAGGGCATAAAATTTCCCTCCACTTGCAAATAAAATTTGTATTTGTACATACTTGTATACAGGAATATGTACCTGGTTTGAGTAGATTTTCTTTACTCTAGGTTTGAAGTTCAAATGCAAAATCTGAAACATTCCCTAAAGAACAGCATACACCAGTGAGTGTAAACTAAATAATTAAGATTCACACATGAATAAAAACAGGCTGCATCACTTGTTCTTATGATATGTACATTTAATCTGAAGACCACAAGAGATAATTAGTCAGATCTTGACATCAGATATGAATTGCTGTTCTGTATACTAGTATGTATTATTTTTGGAAGATAGCTTGAGATAAAAGATACCACAGAGTCTAACACATCTGTTTCATATTTGGATATTTTGTACTTGAAAAAGACGTCAATGGTAATCAAACAACAAAGCTCTATGATAAACGTTATGACATGAACTTTTCTATCGTCAAGTTCCCTTACTTATGCAGCAATATACCTTCATCACCTGCATAGGGAGTTAATATATATCAGTCGATTCGACACGCAATCTTGAACATGATCTTCAAACACCTTGATGAAACAAGGATTTCAGCACTCTCATTTAATGTCACAATTTCTTAAATTCTGTTGTCGATACAATGACCTTGTCAGCAAATACAATTTATCATCGAGTCAAATGCTGACTGGCGTTTTTCATATTTGTTGTTAGTCCATTATTTATACACACAATAACGACGAATTTTCCATTATTTCCCGATCATGACAAAGAGCACACGGCGTGTGTGAACGGTCGGCAGGGGATGCTCACTCCTCAGTGGCACCTGATTCCACCTCCGATATATTGGAGTTCCGTGTTTTGTACTGTTTTAAGGACTTCTGATCTTGAATATCTCCATGTGTTTCATCACAAAGATAATGTAGAAAGAGAACCAGAATACCTGACCATAAGATTCAGGTTTTTTAAAATTAGAAACCCACTGCCACAACGCTCCTCTGTTCTTCATAAGATTCCCCTTTGTAATACATATTTTGCCCCCATCCTACCTCATTTAAGTTTCATTTTGTCTGATTCATTGATCTTTAAATGAAGATTTCTGAAGATTTTCAAATATATTTCAATTTCAATGACTTTGTTTCCCTATTGTGGCCTCGCACAGCCAGTGGTCATGATTTGAAAAAATTAGAATCTACAATACATAAGAGTGCTTCCATGATAAAAGATTAAGCTTTTTTGGCTCATTTGTTCCACAGAACTTTTTTCTATATATATTTATACTAATATTTAAAATGGAAAACTATTATATCATTCCATATAAGCTTCAGCTTTTCTGGTGAAGAGGTTCTGGAGAATAATGTATTTTAGGATTTCCCCATCATATTTCTGTGTAAAACTGATTCCCATTCCCTACTGTGGTTCCATCCTTCACCTTCGGGTCATGATTTTAATAATTTAAAATCTACACTACATCAAGATACTTCCACATATGTTTCAGCTATTCTGACCTAGCGGTTCTCGAGAGGAAGAATGTAAAAAAAATCATATTTATTTCAAAGCAATGGGTGGACTCATAAAAATGTGTACAGAGACTTTTGAAATAAATCTGAACAAATGCTTTGATATGTCTCTCAACTCTTGAATCAATCAGTTAGAAAAATAGCAGTTTTTAAATTCTTTTGTTATGCAGTGTTGGTGTGCCTAACGATTACATACACTAATGCCTTAAAATGTCCCCGAAAGAGTCTTTATAATTAAACCTACCAAATATTTTACTGTTGTGTCTCATAAGTCTCCTCTATAATAATGAAATACAAAATTCTGTACAAGTACATGTATCTAAAATGTGATCATTATTGAGTAAAAGAAAATAATTGTTCACCCTCTGATTAAAATGAATATGGAAATAAAATGCATAATTTAACAAAAAAATCTATAGTGTAATCCACTCTGCTCAAGGGGCAAAAAGATGTGGTAAGAATATCAGTAACGGCTCTAGCTTTGTCATGTGATCGGTGATTTACTATTTTTACAGAGAGGCTCGACAATAATGGGGAACGATTCCTCTGACGACACAACCACAGCATCCCCACACACATTGATCAAACACTGACTCTGGAAGATAAAAAAAACTCAGTTGAACTTTTGTATCTCAAATATCTAAAAAAAAAAAAAAAATAAATGCCATGCATGTATCGAAGTGAAATGAGGCTATCATCTTTTAAAATGAGTATTAAACCTCTAAATTCTGAAATCTTAAATAGATAGTCCTTTTAAAGCCCCATTTAGTTTTAGTGAATAATGTTAGACTGAGCTTAAAGAAGTTGAGAATTCTTATATAAGGAATAGTGAAAATTTAATTTTCTTGAAAAAATGTATTGCATTGTGTTAAACTGATTTTCACCAGAAGGTCTATGTAGGTTTTCATCTATCTATACTAGTAAACCCATGTATTGTGTACCTGGTTTTTGTGTGGGTTACACATCAGAACACATTGGTTCATTCAATCAGACACTAATCCATTCCCTCCAAGAGAGGCTACATTGGCTCTCACTTTGGCCATCATCTCCGCAACAAATGTCTGCATACATCCTCCTTGCCCTCCAATCTTAACAAGTGAAAGTAGAAAATTATAAAGATCTAAATAAACTCTGAAGATAATTGATTTGTAAAGAAAATCCTGACCAACAATACATTAGTGAGTGAGATCAAGTACATAACCTTTTCTAATTATGAGAGCTTTGAAGGAATCATCATCAAGTTTTTATCAGACTTACCTCTCGTAATGAAGTAGATTCTCTAATAAAGAAGAAGTTGTTGCCCAAATATTGTTTTATCTTGAAGCCTGGTATACTAGGCAGTGGTGTAAGCTCCACACAGATACATATGTATTGTGTTTCTGAACCGTCTATAAAATGTAACCCAATAACCCAATTTATGTCCATTAAAAGACTTTTTAAAAACCTCACAACACCTTCTCATCCAATCAGGCTAACTGTGCAAAACACAAAACTTGTAAGGATAAACTTCAATTTGCTAATTTGAATCCTTATAACAAGAACTATAAGTCATTTACGCACGTGTTCCAGAGATCTACGAACTGAGTTTTCCTTTGTCTGTCTAGTGAGAGGAACTACAATATAAAACATCATCAGCTCATTTTTTGTGAGACCCTGTAAGTTCCCTTAGAACAAGAGACCCATGGGCCACCTGAGCAATATGGCTAGAAAAATCAGAAATCAGTTTATCATTGAAAAGTTTAAACCCAATAGTGGTCCCAAACTATCCATAAAACGGAGAGGGTATGATTTGAACAAACTTGAATCTTCACTAACTAAGGATGCTTGCATATTTCTCTGGCTTTATTGACCTTTACATTTGAACTTACACTGTGGTCCCGCCCTACCCCCAGGGGTCATTACTTGAACAAAATTGAATTTACACTACTTGAGAATGCTTCCATATAAATATGATCATGCACGCCTTTGCTATTCTTAAGAGGAAAATTTTCCTATGTATTTCTATGTAAAACTTTGATGGGTCATGATTTGAATAAATCTGAATCTACACTACCTGAGAATGCTTCCATATAAATATGATCATTCTTGCCCTTTCTATTCTTGTGAAGAAGATTTTTTAAAGAATTTCCCATATGTTTTTATGTAAAACTCGGTTCGGCCATTGTGGCCCTGCCATACCCCCAGGGGTCGTGATTTGAACAAACTTGAATCTCCACTACCTGAGGATGCTCCCATATAAATATGACTATTTATGCCTCTGCTATTCTTGTGAAGAATATTTTTAAAAAATTGTCCTAAATATTTCTATGTAAAACTTTGATTGGCCATTGTGGTCCCACCCTACCCGTGGGGGTCATGATTTGAACAAACTTGAATATACACTACCTGAGAATACTTCACTATAAGTTTCATCTTTCCTGGCAAAGTAGTTCTCGAGAAGAAGATTTTAAAATTATACCATAAAATTTTCACAATTTCGCAATTATCTCCCCTTAAATAAGGGTGTGGGCCTTCATTTGAACAAACTTGAATCCCCTTGACTTAAGATACTTTGTGCCTAGTTTGGTTGAAATTGGCCCAGTGGTTCTTGAGAAGAAGTCGACAATGAAAAATGTTAACGATGACGACAACAACGACAACAACAACAGACAAAGAACAAATTTTGATTAGAAAAGCTCACTTGAGCCTTCGGCTCAGGTGAGCTATAAATTGCAACTGCTTTGGTGTGCCCCTGTAAGTTTTCCATCATTGACTTACCCTCTGTGTGCACCTGTTAGCTCCCCATCATTAGAGAGGGTAAGCTTTTTACCGTGTACGTCTATTTGTACGTGTAAACCTAGAAGTAATTTTACACGTACGCGGAACTAATGTCGTGTTCTGTTTAACAAATTGAACATGTGCTGGTACCTGCAAAACGTCATCTCAACATGTCACTTTACAATCCATCTGTATCAAATAAATCTATGATTTGAAATAAAAAAGATACATAGGATGTTCGTAATAAACTCTCAACGTCATACTAATACCGACTGAAAAAATGCTGACTGACGTTTTTCATACAATTGTTAGTCCATTTTTTTTAATACACTAAATTGACAAGGGATTTTTCCATTATTTCCTGATCATGACAAAGAGCACACGGCGGGTGTGAACGGTCGGCAGGGGATGCTCACTCCTCCAAGGCACCTGATCCCACCTCTGATGTTTCGGGGGTCCGTGTTTGCTCTGCTCTTATTTTTATTGTTTTATGGACTTTGAGATTGAAAACTGTTCGTTATCTCCATATCCTTCTTATTCCGTAGTTTGAGTTAAAGAAGCTACAGCTACAAGTTTTCACCTACGTGTACTTGTGAATCTACACGTTGTGTACAACTTGTAGAATTACGTGGTATGCAAAAGTGATGGCATAAATCGCATTAAATTAGGGGATTTCCCTAGCTACACATACAGGTAGACGGTCATCTGCTTAACCTCTTGTAAGTTTCTTAAATCATTGAAAATCTGTGGAATAATTTTCCTTTTACCAGCTTGGAATGCTTTGTGCCTGATGTAACCTAGAATTTGTTGTGACGTCATTCCTATTCGTTTATTTAAAAGGAGGAATAATCAGTTAGATCACTATGAATTGATTGATTGGAGATGTAAAAAGACTGCTGTGCTACTAGCTGTCAGAAATCCTGGATATCGAGGAATACATGACGTCAGGTTCCTTATATTGTTGCAAACCATGGACTAAATGAACGAGCCTCCCCTATATTAACCGCGGTTAATGCATGAGATGTGAATATTTCCTTTTAAAATACTGACCAAATTGTGAGTAAAGCATTGTCCGAAAATACCTTTTGATGCAATCGTTCATAATCCAATTTCAGTTTAAGTAATATTTGTTGTTTGTATTTAAATTTAATGGGAATATACACAATTATTTTAGTAGCTTTCTAACATGTCGCATTTAAGTCGTGATCTTCACAAGGCTTTAATTGATCAAGCAGCCACGGGTAGGAGAGCACTACAGGCATACTCCATACCATGGCTTGAGATGATGGATTCCTCAATATTTAAATACCATACAAATGATGTAGTGAAATAAATTACTGTGATATCAAATAAAGATGCATATACTTGTCTCTTCACTCCTGTATTACTGTGAAATCACTAATTTTCGTGGGGGTTTAATTTTCGTTGTTTTCGTGGAATTCATGTCTGCCACGAAAAAAAATTTTCATATGCACAACTACTAAAAGGGTCTTTATAAACGAAATAAAATCCTCACGAACCAGCATTTTTTCCGTCAACCACGAAAATTTGATCCCACGAAAATATGTGATTTTACAGTACACAGTAAAAAAAAAATCAAACAGAAGTTTTTAGATCCTTTTATTATGCAGTGTTGGTGTGCGTAATAATTACATACACAAATGCCTTAAAATGCTACCAAAACAGGTTTTATGATTACACCTATCAAACAGTTTACTGTTGTGTTACAACAGTCTCCTCTCGAGTAATGAAATATCAATATTAGACACGTACATGTATCTTTAATTTGTTCATTATTTTGTAAAAGAAAATAATTGTTCACCCTCTGATTAAAATGAGTAAGACGATACAATGCATAATTTAAACAAATTCTATAGTGTAATCCACTCTGCTCAAGGGGCAGTGAGTAATACTGGCCAACAAAGGAATGTTCGGTAAAAATGTCAGTAACAGCTCTAGCACTGTCATGTGATCGGTGAGTCGCTGTTTTTTCGAAGAGGCTCGACAATAATGGGGAATGATTCCTCTGATGACACAACAACAGCATCCCCACTCACATTGATCAAACACTGACTCTGTAAGATAGATAATTCATTTGAATTTCATCTCTAATAAATGTCAAAATTGTAAATACTATGGAAATATCTTGCTGAATTAAAATAATCATTAAAAATATTTTAACATCTGTTTTCTGAAACTTAAGTATATAATCTTTTTAAAACCCAATTAAGTTTCAGAGATTGAGATTTGACTGTGCTTGGAGAAGTTGCTAATTGTTATTAAATGGGAGAAAATTGATTTTCTTGAAAAAATGTACATGTATTGCATTTTGAGATTGTTTTTATATCTTTAAATACTAGTATATCCATGTGTTCAAACTTCAAAACTACTTCCCTACCTGGTTTTTGTGTGGATTACACATCAGAACACATTGGTTCATTCGATAAGACACTAATCCATTCCCACCAAGAGAGGCTACATTAGCTCTCACATTGGCCATCACCTCGGCAACAAATGTCTGCATAAATCCTCCTTGTCCCCCAATCTTACAAAGTGAAAGTAGAAATTTTATAGATTCAATCGAATTCTTAAGAAAACTGGCTTCTAAAGAAAATCCTGACCAACAATACATTTGTGTGTGAGATCAAATACAGAACCTTTTTTGATTATAAGATAAGAATTTTGAAGGACGAATAAAGTTATTAACAGACTTACCTCTCGTAATGAAGTAGATTCTCTAATAAAGAAGAAGTTATAGTTGCCCAAGTAACGTTCAATCTTGAGGCCTGGTATACTAGGGAGTGGTGTAAGCTCCACACAGTTCTTGTGTTTCTGAACAGTCTATAAAAAAATCACGAAGTTAATTCATACTAACCATCAAAGATCTTTTTTTAAAACCTCACCATCGGCAGTCTTCCTTTATGCTCAACATTATCAAATTCAAAGCAGCAACACTGAACTTATCCAGTTTACTTGTCATCTAGCTAACATGGAATATACTATTCTTGTGAAGAAAACTTTACTTGGCTACTGAGTTCTTGTAACATAAATCGTTTACTCACATGTTCCAGAGATCTACGAACTGAGTTTTCCTTCGTCTGTCTAGTGAGGGAAACTGCAATATAAAACAACATCAGCTTACTCTCAGTATTCCCATGTAAAGTTCCCTTATAAATAGTATCACCCATCTGTGTACCTCTGTAAAATTCCATTATAATCTTGCTAAGATTTTTCTGTTTGTCCCCCAATATATTTCTGGCATTAGCTTAGCTTAGACCCTTTATCTGCTCTTCTTCATGAGCTTACCCTTTGTGTGCCCCTGGTTGTTCCCCATTATTAGCTTACCCTTTAGTGCCCCTGTATATCTGTATAAATCCCATCATTAGATTACCCTTTGACTGATATATATATATATATATATACATATATATTGGATATATATATAAAAGCCCCAGAACCTGAGACCCCGAAACACAGTTTTATACAGAGTCCCCGTAACTGACATTATATATATATATATATATATATATATATATATATATATATATATATATATATATATACACACAACAAAAAAGAAATACGTATTCAGATTAAACATGATATTCTAAGTTTTCAGTTTAAACCTTAATTTTTAAAGTGATTTTAGAGTGTATTGTGATAAAAATCAAACATGTTGTATGTTCCAAATTGACAAGTTAAGTTCACGTCATTGGCGTCGCCTCCAAATTCTAGAGGCATACGCCTTAACTAATCCATTTGTCCTCTGCGACCTCTCAGCGCTGGTGGAAATATTCAAGTGTATGGGCGTCGTGCCCGAATACCAGCTCCTCTCAGTCTCTTGCAAACAATTTGTGCACTTTATGCCGATTTCAGCAGTTTGCACATCAGTTCTGAGTCGATTTCGCAGGTGCTGAAGGAGGATCTGACGGTCGTGCCTGGGTGTGGTAGCCCGCAGACAGCCAGTTTTTAGTATGTCATCCATGTTCCTAGCTGGTGGAGATGTGCTGCAAAGCCGATTGATGTACACCAAATGCAGTTGCAACTTCCTGTTGCGTAGCTCCGGTTAGTATCATTGTTAGAGCCTCCTTTCGTTCATCTTTGTTTAGGCATAGCAATGCAGCATCAACATTGCAATCAAAGCATAAATATGGATTTAATAGGAATGTTTATTGTTTCTCTAAATCCAAAATTTCATTGAAAATAGACCCCCGATTTACAAGAAATCACATAAAACTCTATTTTTATAAACATCATTAATCAAGGGAAATAATTCAACAATTGGGGTTTACAAGCCCATATTGTACGCTAAATGGGTCACAGGTATCCAATGATAAAAAAGACAAACTTGTTCAATATACTTCTTCAAAATTTCTTTGATGAGTAGAACAATATGCATTCTTTTTTTGTTGAGTATACTTCTACCTATTAAATCACCCTTTGTGTGACCCTGTATATCTGTATCATTATCTTATCCTTTGTTTGCCCTGTAAGTTCCTTACAATTACCGGTAGTTTTCCCTATGTGCTGTCCTGTAATTTCACCATTAAGATTACTTTGTGTTCCATCATCATTAACTTACCCTGGGTGTGTCCCTGTAAGTTCCCCTTCAACAGCTTACCCTATGTGTGCCCCTATAAGCTCCCTATCATTATCTTACCCTTTGTGTACCCCTGTAAGTACCCTATCATTAACCCCACCCTTTGTGTGTCCCTTTATATTTCTCCATCATTAACATACCTTTTATGTGAAATGTAAAATCCAGAACAAAAACTTACCCTTTGTGTGCCTCTGTAAGTCCCCCATCATTATCTTACCCTTTGTGTTCCCCTGTAATTTCACCATCATTATCTTACCCTTTGTGTGCCCCTGTATTAAGTTCCCTATAGATCCCTCTGTTGAGAACTCCTCCATTTGAAACATCATGTCGTCTCTCTCACTGGTACCACTGCTGCTTGTGGTTGTTGCAGACACTGAAAAAAAATTCACTGATCAGGCCAACTTTATAATAATGTCAGTTTACCCTCTTTCAAATTCATGCTGAAAAAATATAGGTTGGTAGGTAAAGTGCAAAATTTTGTTTCCCAGAAATTTTCAACACACATGCTGAATTTTTAATAATTTATTATCCCTAATGCATTAATATAAATTGCTTCCTGCCAGTACCTGGAGGTTAAAAAAGTTCTGAGTCAGGCCATTTTTAGTCAGTTACTGTAAAGGTATTACATTTAGCAGTGTATTCTATTTAGCGATTTTGGCAAAAAGCTACGTTTGCTAATTCAAGTCCATCGCTAAATGTCTTGTATATTAATTAATTAGCAAATTCAGACAGCACCAAATCAAATCTACGCTAACTTGTTGAAAAATATCGTACATGTCAAATGTAATACATTTACAGTAAAAGAGAGGGCAACCTTTTTTTTTTTTTAAAGATGGCCTTTAACTTAATTAGCAGTCCATTATGCCACATTTTAACAAGAATATTCATCTCATCACAGTGTAAAGTATTGATTATCATTATTACTTCATCTTCGAACAGTCCTTGTCAACTTAATAATAAATATTTTTTTTTAAACTCTTGAAAACTAAATGCGATACATGATATCAAGTAAGCTCACTTGTATTATTGATTTTTTTTAATCAGTAATATTCGAAAATTATCCTCTTAATAGAATTTTCAGAATTTATATTTACCGTTTATGGATATTCTTTTGAAATATACCGAATGCACATTTTCAATGTTTAGAGATGATTGCCTTTACCTTCAGACATTTAAATCATTACCTGTGATACTGATTATAAATAGACCATGAAGATTGAAACACCAAGGTAAACAAATGACAGCCATGTTGGATAAACTACCTGTTTAATTAGGTATGCTTTTTAAAAAGTTTTATTTTATATAAAACTCAAACAATGTTAACAGTTAGTAAGTTTATTATATACAAAAGACATATATTGGATTATGGGGACTGACAACCGACTTACAATGCGTAAATGAAACTGCTCTATCTCCAGGACAATATGGAGATAGGCAAAGTATACATGGTAACACATAAGAAGCAAACAAGTAATAAGAAATGTTTTTAATTTTTGTGTGAGTTATTGGTGTGGGAATCACACAGACTTGTCACAAAGGCATATTTCATGAAGCGCGCTAGCACTTCATGAAAAATATTCCTACGTGCAAGTCTGTGTGATTCACACACCAATAATTCACACTAAACTTAAAAACATTCCTTACATTTACATTTTACATGTCTTAAAGCATCAAAAATATACTCAATATTTGAATTTTTCGCACCCTATTTCGTCACATTTTTCCAACGTCCCTGTAGCCTCATCGTGACGTCACGTTAGCGCACGTTTCTCCGTGTATATTTCTACCCGTGAGTATACATGAAAATGGTTTTTAAATCAATTTCACAGTTGGCTTAGTAGAAAAACACAGCGAATATAAATATTAAGAAATGCACGACTGTTATTACATATGAACTATTTTCTCTGAGATTCTATTTTCTTGGAGGCATATGATAACTCTTTTCAGGTTTGGGTTTTGTTTTATATATTATCTGTCTGTTTATTTTTTTCCCCATGAACAGGTTGAATTTAAGATAATATTTTATCTACAATTAAGTATTTAGTTATATATGAAGTTATATAAACATTAAATAAGTTCCTAATGATGATCCTGCCCTTTCATGTTCATACCTTCAAGTATTTTTGTCCCCCACTTGTCCGTCTTTCTGTCTGTAACGCTTTCGTTTCCAAAACAAGTTCTCAGGACTTTATATTCTTATTACATCAATTAGAACTGTTTAATAAAGGTTAAATTATACATCATGCATTGTGTAAAATTTTGACAATATCGAACGTGAATATATACATGTATTTGACTTCATCTTTGCATATAATTTCCGCAAGGTTAAAGCGGTTCAGTGGTGTAGTGGTATGTCTCTCACTTCACATGTGAGAGGCCCGGGTTCGAATCCCAGACGATCCATTTCCTTTTCTTCCGAAGTACTTTTTTTTTTAACTAAATGATAGTATTAAGCATGTGAAATGAAAAATTTATGAGCTCTGGCTTGTACAAACTCATAAAATCATCATTACAATGTGAAAAATATTCCATATAAAAAGAATCTTCTATATACATAATAAAGAATAAGCCATCAAATCTTTATATCCATATTGGCATATTTTATTTGCTTCAGTATACATGTATACAGTCATTTAAAAATTTTACAAATTCAGTCATGGGGATCCAACCAACCCCCTCCCCCCCCCCCTACCCAAACTGCGCATGGTTTACTTTTTTCACTAAGCGGGGGACACAAATTCTCTGAATTAGCTTGTTAACTATCCATCATTCCAGAAATATAGCACACTTACTGCCTGCACACATTTAGCATTTAGAAGAAAACCAAATGACACAGACAGACAGACATGCTGACAAATAGGGAACACATATACATATAATCTACCCTGGTTTCTCACTGTCTTGTCCTGTTCAATTTCATTGGTAAAAATGACCAATGAAATTGATAATACTGGTTCCACATTCATGATATATTTTTTCATTTGCTGTTTTTCCCAGCCCCATACATGTACTTAAATTCCTTGTAAACTGATCTTTTTTAGGGAGAGGCTTTCTTAGCTTCCACAATGGACCCTCGGTTCAGTGCCCAGGATGTCCTGTGCTGTGACTTGTGTGAGACTCCTGTCCCTCCAATGTGCTGTGACTTATGTCATGTCAAAATCTGTAAGGCCTGTGTAGGGGAGCATCTCTCTGATTTATCAAAAGAACATAAAGTGGTGCCATACAAACAAAAGGGAACTACGCCAAAATGCCCCACCCATGATGGAAAACTTTGTGAATTTCACTGCAAGGAATGTGATCTTCCTGTTTGTTCACTCTGTCTGACATCCAACTTACACAAAGGACATACTTTATTGAATTTACTGGAGATAATGAAAACCAAACAGAAGGCCATACAAAAAGTTGTGGACGAATTGTCCAATTCAGTTTGCCCTAAATATGAAGAAATTTCAGCAGAGAAACAGAGAGAAAAAACAGACCTAGAAAAACAATATGAGAAACTGACAACAGCTGTCACCAAACAAGGAGAAGACTGGCGCAGAGAAATTAAAATCATTGTCAACAAACTGAAATCTGATATTGATGAGATGAAAACTAAACACCTGGCTGCTCTAAATGAACAGGAAAAAGAAATCAAACAGATTACTTCTGAAATAAAACAGTACATACTTGATCTGGAAAAAATACTAGACTCCAATGATGTCTCCTTAACCTCTGCATACAAATCCTGGAATGCTAAATTCAAAACATTACCCCCTAAAGTCAAGATTTTATTACCAAGTTTCTCTCCATATCAAATCAACAGAGAACAGCTCAATCAAATGTTTGGTTCTCTGTCAGCATTATCCATTACAACAGAAGAACATGGCTACACAATGAAGACACTAGAAGCTGTATCCTGTCCTCCAGTCAAACCACTGCTTGATGAACCAGAGCTCATCAATACCACACACACTAAGATTAGACTACAGAGTATTGCCTGTCTGAGTGATGAAGAAATCTGGACACGTGGGAATGACAAAATCATGAAACTCTACAACCTCCAGGGCAAACTACTGAAGTCAATCCAAACCAAGTCAGGGAAAGAACCATATGACATAGCAGTGACAAGGAGTGGAGATCTAGTTTATACTGTCCCTAATGCAAGAACTGTAAACATAGTGAAGAATAAACAGATACAGGAAGTGATCAGACTAAAGGGGTGGAAACCTTACAATATCTGTAGTACCTCCTCTGGTGACATCTTGGTTATCATGAACAGTGAAGATGATGAACAATCAAAAGTTGTCCGTTACTCTGGCTCCACAGAGAAACAAACAATTCAGTTTGATAGTGAAGGTAAACCTCTGTATTCATCTTATGACACTAAATACATCAGTGAGAACAGGAACCTGGATATCTGTGTGGCTGACCACATAGCCAGTGCAGTGGTAGTGGTTAATCAGACAGGAAAACTCTGATTTAGATACACTGGTCATCCCTCTACTGCCAAGAGATCATTTCAACCTTGGGGCATCACAACAGACAGTCAGAGTCAGATCCTGACATCAGACTTTAGTAACCACTGTATCCACATCCTAGATCAGGATGGACAGTTCCTCTGTTACATTAATAACTGTGATCTATGGCATCCATGCGGTTTATGTGTGGACACCAGAGACAATCTCTTTGAGGCTAAGTACGTTAGTGGTAAAGTGAAGAAAATCAAATACATGTGAATAATTAGGGAAGTGCATATGAAGAGATTATAAACCTTGTAGACAGAAGAAAGTAACATTATACTTTGATGTCTGTTTCATGGTTTGTTACTGAAAATGTCCTTCCACTTGCAATATAAAAGTTGTATACACATACCTGCTTTGAGTAGATTTTCTTTGCTGTAGGTTTGAAGTTCAAATGCAGAATCTGAAACATTCTCTAAAGAACAGCACACTCCAGTCAGTGTTATCTGAAAAGAAAATAAACAGTTAATGTCATTTGATTTTGAAGTTTATAAGATTCATTCATTAATAAAAACATGCATCACTTGTTCTTATGGCCTGTATTACTTACCTGTATTTCTATACCACACAGACAGCAGGGGGACATCTGTCACCTGTCCTACCTGTACTTGCCTGTATTTCTCTGTGAGAGATCTACACCAAAGTCTATACCACACAGACAGCAGGAGGACATCTGTCACCTGTCCTACCTATACTTACCTGTATTTCTCTGTCCTCTGGAAGATCTACACCAAAGTCTATACCACACAGACAGCAGGGAGACATCTGTCACTTGTCCTACCTGTACTTACCTGTATTTCTCTGTGGGAGATCCATACCAAAGTCTATACCACACAGACAGCAGGGAGACATCTGTCACCTGTCCTACCTGTACTTACCTGTATTTCTCTGTGGGAGATCTACACCAAAGTCTATACCACACAGACAGCAGGGAGACATCTGTCACCTGTCCTACCTGTACTTACCTGTATTTCTCTGTGGGAGATCTACACCAAAGTCTATACCACACAGACAGCAGGGAGACACCTGTCACCTGTCCTACCTGTACTTACCTGTATTTCTCTGTGGGAGATCTACACCAAAGTCTATACCACACAGACAGCAGGGAGACACCTGTCACCTGTCCTACCTGTACATACCTGTATTTCTCTGTGGGAGGTATACACCAAAGTCTATACCACACAGACAGCAGGGAGACATCTGTCACCTGTCCTACCTGTACTTACCTGTATTTCTCTGTGGGAGATGTACACCAAAGTCTATACCACACAGACAACAGGGAGACATCTGTCACCTGTCCTACCTGTATTTCTCTGTCCTCTGGAAGATCTGCACCAAAGTCTATACCACACAGACAGCAGGGAGACATCTGTCACCTGTCCTACCTGTACTTACCTGTATTTAACTGTGGGAGATCCACATCAAAGTCTATACCATACAGACAGCAGGGAGACATCTGTCACCTGTCCTACCTGTACTTACCTGTATTTCTCTGTGGGAGATGTACACCAAAGTCTATACCACACATACAACAAGGAGACATCTGTCACCTGTCCTTCCTGTACCTACCTGTATTTCTCTGTCCTCTGGAAGATCTGCACCAAAGTCTATACCACACAGACAACAGGGAGACATCTGTCACCTGTCCTATCTGTACTTACCTGTATTTCTCTGTGGGAGATCTACACCAAAGTCTATACCACACAGACAGCATGGAGACACCTGTCACCTGTCCTACCTGTACTTACCTGTATTTCTCTGTCCTCTGGGAGATCCACACTAAAGACAGCAGGGAGACACCTGTCACCTGTCCTACCTGTACTTACCTGTATTTCTCTGTGAGAGATGTACACCAAAGTCTATACCACACAGACAACAGGGGGACATCTGTCACCTGTCCTACCTGTACCTACCTGTATTTCTCTGTCCTCTGGAAGATCTGCTCCAAAGTCTATACCACACAGACAGCAGGGAGACATCTGTCACCTGTCCTACCTGTACTTACCTGTATTTCTCTGTGGGAGATCTACACCAAAGTCTATACCACACGAACAGCAGGGAGACATCTGTCACCTGTCCTACCTGTACTTACCTTTATTTCTCTGTGGGAGATGTACACCAAAGTCTATACCACACAGACAGCAGGGAGACATCTGTCTCCTGTCCTACCTGTACTTACCTGTATTTCTCTGTCTTCTGGGAGATCTACACCGAAGTCTATACCACACAGACAACAAGGGGACATCCGACGTAACTTATAACAGATTTTCTGAAAACCACAACAAACATCTATGTTAAAATAATGTCAATTTATCATAATGCACAAGTATTTTAATCTAATCTCACTGATAATTTAAGAGTTAACTGATATAAAATTGTCCTTAATAAAAGTTGTAAGTAAACATTACAAACTTAAAGCAAAATATTAATATTTTTACAGAAGAGGAAGGACAAAACATTGACAACTTGGAATGTGGATAACGGCCGTTAATCAGTCACGAAAACTAAAATAGCTACAATTCTGACTAACCTTGACTAGATTTTCAAAGATATCTATAAAACTGCTTTTAGAAGTAGACACAAACTCTTGTCTCCAAATCTGAGTAAACATCTTAAATAAGAAATAAAATATCAAATCAGGTCATTGACAAAGAATAAATTTAAATCGTTATCTTTGGCGCAGCAAATGATGTGCTAATTCATGAATACCGCTAAGAAATTTATAAATAAAATATATGGTGCAATAGTGTGTAGTGCTAATTCATGACTACGCCAACAACTCAATACCTAGTGATTGCGCTAATATTTGAATACACCAATTTATGTACACATACAGTAAAATACATGTATAAAGTACTATCTGTATATATTTCTGACAGTCGTAACTTTTATCAAATGGTGAAAGGTATGCATACAATGCATGACCAGTATCCACCATATATGCATTTAAACCATGATATAAACACCTAAGATCAGACCACACATGAATTATGAACTTTTTCTGTCAGTGACCTTGAACTTGCATTAATGACCTTGGTTCAAAGTCATAACACACACTCAGATCATAAGCAATCTTAGTGTAAAATGGGAACTCACAACGTTTATCAGAAAGATATGGACAGGACATGATTTTTTTTCTGTCACTGTCCTTGAACTTCCCCAAATGACCTTGGGTCAAGGTCATGACATACCCTTAGGTCATGGGCAAACTTTGTGTGAAGTAGAAGATTCTAATGTTCCTCCGTAAGAAAAATATGGACCGGACACGTTTGCACAGACAGCTAGACGGATAAGCTGATTCCTATATACCTCCCTCCCCCCAAATTTGGTTTGCAGGGGTTATAATTAACTTTCCAATCTCATTATCTCAAACTCAATGAGATGAATGAAAAACTTCAAGATACATGAGTAGTTGAGATATGAAGGGTAAAATACTTCATGAATAATTGGTTTGGTCTTCTAAATAACGGAGACGTATCCATGGTATAGGAGATATCAGAGTTATAGATCAAATAACTTATACAAGAGGCCCAAGGGCCTTGAATCGCTCTTCTGATAAATTATACAATCTATCCTAAAACCCAAGATGCATCAACTGACAAAGTTTTATGATTCTTAGCCAGTTAGGGCTGAAGATACAGTCAATTCTCGAATTATCGCCATTCGATTCATCGCCATTTTCGCAATACCGCCATGATTTCCCAAGAACGTTTTTCCTGCTATATAAAATTCTCTTTATAACGCCAAATTCGCATACCGCCATCTGCCACCCTGTTTTCAAAACAAACGTCCATTTTTAAGTGTCGATTATCTCGATATACCGCCACAGGTGCGTGCGGTCAGTGAAGCGCGGCTAATTGGTTGACGCTATCCCTGTTGTAAAGCATGCAAAGCCAGACAAGGTATACGCAATTAAATAATTAAATTAGAATTAAATGAACAAATAATTTTAATATGAACTGTTACAATGATGTTGTTCTGTTGTTTTGTTTAAAAAATCATTTAGTCACGGCTTCGCCACTAAAGGGGTAGTTGTGAAAGTACGCCGAATACAATATTATTTTGATGATCTCTGCTTTAAACAATACAAAGTTTGCCTAAAAACATTATACGGTATAAATTGTGAACGTTTCACTAACAATGATGCCATAAACAATAAATTTATTCAAGAAACCATTTTTCGTACTGTCAGCAATATATCACGACAATCGACCCAGCATGTTTTTTTTTATATCAGACGTGCCGACTTACATGTACATAGATGCACATGTACTTGTCTTTATTTCATAACTGCACATCTTGTTTTAAAGAAATTGTACATAAAAAATTACTTGAAGTATTTTAAAATTCAAAAATATGTTTTATATACATGTACATGTAATTATAAGAATAGAAACCTTACGCTTTATGGCATTTCTAAGAACGGTAACTCTACTTCTTGTTTCCTAAAAGATGGGAAATTCAATTCATCGCCAAATTCGTTATACCGCCATGATTTCTAAATCACAAAAGGTGGCGGTTTATCGAGAATTAACTGTATTTAAATGTAACTATAAAATACTATAAGTAGGTCATGGTGACCTACTTTTTGATTGAATTTTTCTGAGGACACAAGATGCATTAATTGACAAAGATTGATGATTCTAAGCCAATAAGTACTTGAGATATTCAAAAGTGGGTCACAGTGACCTACTTATTGGTCAACATTCTCCGAAAACCCAAGGTGCATAAACTGACAAAGTTTGACAATTCTAAACCAATAAGTACCCTAGAATACTTAAATATAGCCATAAGTGTCACAAGTAGGTCACTGTGACCTATATTTTGATCATCATTCTCCGAGAACCCAAGATGCATCAAATAACAAAGTTTGGTGATTTTAAACCAATAAGTACTTGAAATACCTAAATATAACAATTAAATGACAAAAGTAGGTCACTGTGACCTACTTTTTGGTCGACATTCTCAGAAAACCCAAGATGCATCTACTGACAAAGTTTGATGATTCTAAGCCAATCAGTACCTGAGATATTCAAAAGTGGGTCACCGTGACCTACTTTTTGGTCAACATGCTCCGAAAACCGAAGATGCATCAAATGACAAAATTTGATGATTCTAAACCAATTAGTACCTGAGATACATAAAACTAGCCATAAAATGTCAAAAGTAGGTCACTGTGACCTACTTTTTGGTCGACATGCTCCGAAAACCCAAGATGCAAGGAATGACAAAGTTTGATGATTCTAAGCCAATAAGTACCTGAGATACTAAAATATAGCCATAAAATGTCAAAAGTAGGTCACTGTGACCTACTTTTTGGTCGTTAATCTCCAAAAACCCAAGATGCATCTACTGACAAAGTTTGATGATTCTAAGCCAATTAGTACCTGAGATACTTAAATCCAGCCATAAAATGTCAAAATTAGGTCACAGTGACCTAGTTTTTGGTCGACATTTTCTGAAGACCAAAGATGCATCAACTGACAAAATTTGATGATCATAAGTCTAATAGTATTCAAAATATGCCTTTTAAACAATTTGAAAACAAATGCCTGCAAAGTTCAAAAAGAAGGTCAAAGTGACCTACTTTTTGATAAATATGTTTTAAGGCCTCTAGATGCATCAGCTTACAAGATTTGGTGATTCTAAACCTCTCGGTGTCTGAAATAATGGGATTAAATGTTTTTGAAAAGATTAGCCATAAAATTCAAAAAGTAGGTCACAATGACCTACTTTTAAGTTGATGTTGTTTGTGGACCCAAGATGCACCAACTGACAAAGTTTTATGATCATAGGCCTTAAAGTGTCCAAAATATGCCTCCAAATCAATTTGAAAACAAAACCCCGTAAAATTTTAAAACTAGGTCACTGTGACCTACTTTTGTATTAACATGATGGCAAGTCCTGAGATGCATCAACTTACAAGATTTGATGATCCTAGTCTTTATAGTAAGCAAAATATCAACGTTTTTAATGAGAGTAAATTTTGGTCACCTTTGAAGTGACCTTGAGACCACGCCCTTTGCCCAAGGGTCATGCCTTGAACAATTTTTTATCTTCAACATATCCTGACCCTTGTATGCAAGTTTGGTGAAAATCTGCCTGGTGGTTCTGGAGAAGAAGATTTTTTAGCAACCAGTACTTTTGGTTTTATTTTCGTGATTATCTCCCATTGTTTTAGGGTCCCACCCCTAATTTCAGTACAAATGGTAGCCCTTGGGCTAAGGATACCCTGTGACAAATTTTACAATAATTGGCCAAGGGGTTCTTGAGTTATGGCCCATATTCTAAAAAGTTAACGCACACCGCACACCGCACGACGCACACCGCACAAATGGCCATAGCATTAGCTCTTTGAGCCTTTGGCTCAGAAGAGCTAAAAAGTTCAACAGTACTTAAGGTGCTAGAAAAATCTGCATCTTTAAAATTTTCACCTGGAGATTGGAAGCCAGTAGGGTGGATCCTGGAATTTTGTGGGTGTTCAGCATGGTAAATCCCTCTGGAAGCTGAGACTGTTTCAGCAGTGATATTATATTCTCATCATTTGCATCATCAACCTGTCATAAATGTTCATATATTCAGTATAATTTCAAGCATCTGTTCATTTTTTTTTCTTTTTTAACAAGAGGTACAAAATTTCTAAGTTTATTTCAAGTGTTCACCTGGGTAATATGATCTTGAACCATTTCATGTACTGGTTAAGTTAAATAAGAAATAAAAACCTCAATGACAAAAGTGTCTTTGTTTCCAGAGGATAAATCCAGCTCTGACGCTTCTTCATCACTGTCGTCAGTGACCACACTACGGGGACTGATTTGTCCTGTATCCTACAAACACAGTTTTAAAACTTAAAAGATAATCCAAAATAAAAGATGACATCGAAGCGAGTAACATCATTCTATTAAACTACACGTACATGTACACTGTCCTTAAGAAATGACCATTGAGAAAAAAATTTTAACTCTTGAAATAATTAGTGCAAATATTTTTTTATAAAAACAACCTGTTAAAGTTCAGCTATGAAAAAGTTTAATAGTACACAAAATGCACTTCAATAGTAGTACTGTTATCTCCCACATGTGTTTTATTACGGAATAGCCTAAGATACTTTGTCAGATATTATACAAGAATTCACTTTGGAAATTCTCTATATATAATAATTTTTGAAAAGAAAAGATATGCATGAATTCAGTAATTACAATTTTTGTTAACAGTAAGAGAAAAAAAGGATAAGTTTCTCCCTATAGTTGACTCACAATGTGCAGCAGTTCATGTTTCTCTCGATTTCTCAGCACTCTCTCAGAAATCCTCTTCTGTATTTCCTGTAGGCGACTGTTCTCCTCCTCTGATGTGGCCTGAAACAAACAAAATATGACAATTTTATAGTTACTAATTCCCTAGAGATAGTATACGCAAATATTGTTTCTTAATTGGTAAACTTATCTATGCATTGCAAAAATGAAATTTGATTTCAATTATGAAATAAATAACAAGTTTATAAACAATTTCTCCTTTTCGGCCTTCTCAGGTAATAGAATACTTGTTATTTATTACTTATATATACATTTGAGGACAATTGAATATGTTCAAATTTAAATTATTGCACTAACCGTCCGTCGTAGATTTTGAAAAATGATGCAAGGTGTAAATCGGCTTGCATGGCGGTTACGCTTCGAATTCATCTCTATGGATTTATTTCTAATGGAATATTCTGTGAAAGGCTACTCTCTCACACAAGAAATCGTCTCAATGATAAAAAGTTAGAGGAATTTCGGTCGCTGGAAAGGGATTTCCGATGGATTGAGACACTTGTCCGAGCCAGTTAATTTGCAATTTGATCAAAAACATTCTTTCAGTAACTAAAGGCACACTTATCGTAAAACTCTGATAACACGGAGACAAAATATGAGGTGTTTAGCAGCTGTTCATGGCATGATTGCAAAGATATTTTCCAACAGATTTACACATTTATCGTGAGTAAAATTTAAAGATAAAATAAAAGTTTATCATGAAAATTTAACCAAAGGTCTATCGAAAAAATAAGGATGAATGTTAGAGACTGTGCAGCTGACAAAAGTGAAGAAAAATGTAAACAAAAGTTAGGCTCCTAATGTACACAGGTTGATATAGCCCCAAAACTGTATAAAATACTTGTTTACGTTTAAAATAAAATAATTATCATTTTACTTGCTTATTTTATTCATTTTTATACATGAAAAGCAAGTAGAGCAGGTCATTTTATAATTTATGTACCGGTAGATATTATTGCGCCGTGTGATTAGGTCACGTTTGACATCTGACCTCACAAACTTTAAATTATATTTTCTCTCTGTATGTTTATATAATGGAGAGATACCACAAATGTATATATTTTAAATTATGGCATGTTGTAAAATTATTCAAGCACACAATTTTTGCTCAAACATTACAAGCCACTGAAGTAACTTCAATCTCATGAATAGTTAGAAAAAGAGAATATTCTAGTGATGAGTTGAAATGTAATTGGAGAGTTTACCTGACCCGACACCCTGGGAACTGAAGGCATGGGAAGGGCTGCCATGAAAACAGCAGTAGCAGTCTGAAATAATAAAGAAATATCAATTATTTTGAAGACAAAGCTATAAAATATACTAGTAGCTTCATATTATTGCACATTGACTTTATAATGTAATATCCACTCTTCAATTTTATTAAAATTCAACAATTCTTTAAGAAACTTGCAAACATTTCTTTAACGGCATATATTTCATTAACGAAAGCTTTTCTCAAACTTGTTAACTTAACTTGAAAATTTATATATTAAATACATGTCATCAAAAAAAATTATTTGAATAAGTAGATACAGGAATAAGATCATGAATATAATTAAGGTTCTTTATAATTTGTACCACCACCGCAATATACTGGACTTACTGCCACTCCGACTAGTAAGGACTCGCCCACTGTGATCTGGATCTTAAGGCCGTACAGACCATTCATACCACACAGCTGTAAAAAAAATATTAAACAATAGAGACCATTCATAGCACATACATGTAGCTGTTAAAAAATCCCATAGCTTTAAAAATCATGATGTGTACGTACATTCAAACTGAAATGAGGATTTAATTTTTCTCCCTATGAAGAGGCTGCAGAATTCAATTAAAGTCTCTCATTTAAACACTTAAAAAAACTTGTGTTCTGGACTAATCAATATGGATTCATGGACAATTATGAAGTAATTTGCTTTAACTGTGATACCTTGAGTTTATTCATCAACTGACTGTGAAGTTCATATTCCAAGAAAGGAAGACACTGAAACAAATATACCCAGCATTAGTTTGTAGTAAGATATAAAATGAGAGAAAAGATTGCTTGTATATTTTGTTTCAATAGCAGCATAACACATTTTTAATAGATTTTTAGTGCAAAGCACTTTAAAATTTAGAAATTCCATGCCATATACATTCTTAAGTATTTTATTCTATATATTTGCTAATATCTATAACAATTTAATATCAAACTATTCTATGAATAAGGAACTATTAAAATGATAAGAGTATTATTTCAGAATCCATACATCACTTATCTCTCTGGCATTGGACTCTCCTCCTTTGCTTTTAGCTTTTGGTCGACAAACCCTACAATAGAAATACATGTACATTCAGACCTAGATATAAAATCATTAATTAAAATTCTTATATCCTACATGTTACAATTTGCCTGTATAGATGTAAGAATTGTAAGACCATCTTTGAAAAAAATGTTTGGTTGTCTCTTCTCAACTGACTGACCAGAAATGGCCAAACTCGAAACATTTTAAGTCTTCCATTTTAGAATTAAAGCTGATATTCCTACCCACCTGGCCTGTATGAAGGCACCTTTGCCATGGGTCTGTATCTCTGTGGGTGGATCTATAGTGGTGAACAGCACATCAGGAACTTTACGTTTCCTACATTGTATAAAATAACACAATATTTTATATGTACAAGCATATGCAGAATTTATATCACTTTAACAAGAAATTTCCAATTATTGTTACACTTTAAAAAGAAGAGAAATCTAGTGTACTTATAAAAAATTCTGTTTTATTATCTTCTGAAGGCAACTCTTTAAAACAGAAATCAGAGAATACAACTATTTCTAAAGTTTCATTAAAATCTCTGACCTGCATATTCCACAGACAGACAGATTGACAGGGAAGGGAGCAGAGCTGGGTTTGTATGGTACGTGACACAGAAGGCAGTTATAGTGGGGTGACCCATCATCAGATCTGTCAAATAAAATCAGCAGTTAAACCCAGTATCATCATGTGTCATATCATCGTGTGGTGTGTATATAAGGTATCATATGGTCATGTTTATGTTGTTTTAAAGGTAATAATATTAATACATGAATATTTTGTCATCATACTTCTTAAAAAAGAGCAATATGGACAATCTTATGATGTGGTGAAACTGAACTATTTGTGTGAGACATAAATGTCTGTGTTGGCCAAAGTCATAATAATAAACAAATGAAGGATCTCTTCATGTAAAGGTATAAATACAGACCCATGATCATAGAGAGCTTGGAGGGAGCTCTGGGCAGCAGAATTAGCGAGGTTTACGTCCACATACAGCTTCTTGTCTCGCTCTTTTTCAGTAGAGGGCTTCTCAGGAACAGCAGGGGTGGGGGGAGGTACCCGTGTCGATGATGTGGGGTCATAAGTGACGTTCACTCGGGCAGCAGTACCAGTCGCACACAACACAATGATTTCATCACTATAGAAGAAGGTGTTCATTTGTATATGTATATTAAGTAGAAACATTTTTTATCAAAATTTATATTGCTACAGAAGGAACTAACCACAGTTACCTAACATCTCATTAAATCTTGAAATGTGCTGTCTATGATGGTACATATATTTCTGTGTACCAAATCACATGACATCCCATGGTTTATTTGAATGTCTTACCAGATGGTGGTCTTTTCTGTGTATCCTAACACAGCGTGACACCCCATGGCTTTACAGTGAGTTCGTATCTCTGTCCTAATCTCCGTCCACCAGGCATCTCTTGTCTCTGGTTCCTCTACAATAACCATGGTAACAACATTTTAAAATTCTTCCCAAACCTTTACCTCATTATCAGCCACTATGTAACAAAATATCGCTTTTTTAGGGAAAAAAAAATTAGTGTGGATTTTGATTTTGAGGTTATTAGACCACAAAATCTGTGATAAAAAATTTAAATTTCATGGAGTACAAGATTTAATCACACTTATATACAATGAAAACATCCCCCTCCCAAAGTGATATTACAGTGATGAAATATCAAATTCAATTTTAACTGTGCTTTGAATTAATGCAAAGTTTTGTATTACTGAATTACCCTACATGTACAGCAGAAGTGGTTTAACTAACCTGGGTTGTGAATCTTGTCCAGGAGTTTGACTGACTTGGCTGACACCACACCTCCCAGGTGTACAATAAACCCAACAGGAAACGAGGTCATGGTGAAGAAAGGATACTCCTGAAAATTAATAAATTGTATCAAATGAACCAATTCAAAAAAATTATTGTTAATATGTTCATATACTTTCATGTACTAATATGAGCTCTATATTGGGTAGCAATTAAAGCTTCAAGTTTGACTAACTATAAGCTTTATTGCTGTGATAAGTGAATTACAAGTATATTTATCCATGAAATGACATCTTCCTTATCTAACCATGAGCTCTATGCTGGATTGCTAAGCCCTCAACTTAGCATAAGCTGTATGCTGGGTTGCTGAGCTGACAGCTTGACTTACCATGAGCTCTATACTGGGTTGCTGAGCTGACAGCTTGACTTACCATGAGCTCTATACTGGGTTGCTGAGCTGAGAGCTTAGTAGCAGTTTTACTACCACTTCCTACAACACTACCACTTCCACTGCTCTCTGTTAGACTGCTTCCTACAAATCAACCACCTGTAAATTACTAATTCAACACTAAATACTGAGTGTTTAAAGTCAAAAACTCCTGGACATACCTTTAGGAGGTGTGGTGCTACTAGCATCTGATTCGGAGGATCGTCTCACCACTGTCTGAGGGGAGTTCACCTTGACAGGTGATGTAGCACACCTAATTATGTTGGGTGGGGAGGAGGGTATGGCAGAATCCTCAATGAGAGGGGAACTGAAAGGAAAACTGAATGCTGATTGGCTGCTTTGAACTAGGGGTGGGGCAGAGGGAGGAGGGGAGATGGAGGCTGTTTTCTTGACGGGTGTGTGGGGTGGGGTCATTGTTAAGTGATGATGTGAGCGAGAGAGAAGGGAGGGGCCATGGGTGGGAGGGGTGTGGTGATGATTGAAGTAGTGAAGAGAGTTCACAGCATGCCTCAAACTGAAAGAGAAACAGAAAGGAAAAAACGCTTATTGTAGGATCTTGGTTACCATGCTCAACATTCAAAATACATGCAACAATAATGTCAAGAAAGCACTTCTTTTTAATTAGAAAGCAAGTTACCATTCAAAGCAGACAAATTCATTGAGAAAAATTGTTATTCTTTTTAATAAAATCATTTTGCTCATTCATGCAGCAGTTGCTGTTGAAGCTTTCACAACTGATCTGGATATACAGTTAATTCTCGATAAACCGCCATCTTTTGTAATTCAGAAATGTTGGCGGTATAACGAATTTGGCGATGAATTGAATTTCTCATCTTTTAGGAAACAAGAAGTAGAGTTACCGTTCTTAGAAATAATTTAGCGTTTCTATTTTTATTATTACATGTTCATGTTTCTAAATTTTAAAATACTTCAAGTAATTTTTTATGCGCAATTTCGTTAAATCAAAATATGCAGTTATGAAATAAAGACAAGTACATGTGTATGCATGTAAATCTGCACGTCTGATATTGAAAAAAAAAATCTGCACGTCTGATATTGAAAAAAAAATATGCTTGGTCGATCGTATCGATATATTGCCGATTGTATGTGAAATGAATTCTTGAATAAATTCATTGTTTATCGCATCATTGTTAATGAAACATTCACAATTCATACCGTATAATTATTTTTAAAGCAATCTTTGCATTGTTTAAAGCTCAAAATAATATCGTTATCGGCGTACTTAAAAAACAACGACCGCTTTCGTGGCGAAGTCTTGACTAAATGATTTTTATTAAACAGAAAACAAAATAATTATAACACTTCATGTTAAAATTATTGTTCATTAATTCTTATCTAAATTTTAATTGCATGTGTCTAGTCTGGCTTCGCATTCTTTACAACAGGAATAGTGTCAATAATTAGCCGCGCTTCACTGATCACATGCACCTGTGGCGGTATATCGAGATAATTGACACTTAAAAATGGACGTTTGTTCTGAAAACAGGGTGGCGGATGGCGGTATGCGAATTTGGCGTTATAAAGAGAATTTGATATAGCAGGAAAAATGTTCTTGGGAAATCATGGCGGTATTGCTAAAATGGCGATGAATCGAATGGCGATAATTCGAGAATTGACTGTATTATAAACTCAAAAGTATAAAACAGATCACCAACACTTCGTGAGAATGCAGCAGTAAATTTATTTTGTTGACCACTTTCGACCTGTGACCAGCTTTTCTTTGTTTTGGATATATCATAATTAGAGTTTCACATATTTATAAATAATGTTGTAAAAGATTTTAGTGTCAGTACAAATTTGTATTAAAAAAAGCCCTCTACCAATGTCAAATTAATTGTTAAAATACTTGTTTAACGTGAATTTTTTTTTTGGTGATTTGAACTTGTTTAGTGCAAGAAGTGGTTGACTTGAAATGTTAAAAACATGTGAAAGAAATGCTTCATGATTTAAATATACTTTTTTTAATAAACAAAAACGTACCACTAGGTGCATTGCTTGAAATAAAATTCAAAAAAAAATCTTACTGAGTAAATTGCAATCTTAACTATGAACGATTTCAATTCTGCATCAGAAGCACTTTGTGATTCTTAACCTTTAGTTTATATTGTTTTCTTATATCATGCTACATGTAATTATTAAACACAAAGCACATGCATTGCCATTTTTAGAGACAATAAAAAAAAAACAACAACATTTTGACTAAGTATGTCATTCTACTGAATAAATCAAAACTACTAACAAAAGGCATGATGTGATTATCAATGTGTGCTTTTCATTATTATCAAAGTACTAGTGGAATTGGAAGCAAAATAAAAAAAATCATGACAACATTTAATGGTTTTTCTAAATTCATATTTCATCAGATACAGTTAACAACATCAAAATCTACTGTGACATTGAAGGGAGGTATATTGAGGCTGTATATTTTTTCAGAAATCACATGTAGTTATACATGTAGAGAATTTTCCAACCCTATTTGTGGTTGAATTTATCACAATGAAGAAATATGTTAAGATGTTATTCTAATATGATAAAAAATGTATTACTAATCATGGTATTAGCAAATGGATTATGGATGTTATTTTACAGATCAGATTGATATTAAAAACATTAAATAACGTAAACCAATCTCCACTTATCAATGATACACAACAACAAAGAAAATCCTCTGGTGTGATAAACACCACACTACAAGTATATGTACTTACTTCAGAAATATGTGTACATCAAATCTACATAAACTGGCTGATAAATTGTAGCATTTACAGTATAAAAACAATTGACTTTTTTGTAAAAAACGTGTGTTTGTGAAACAAAATTACCAGTATGTCTTTTGTACAATACAATTCCTATATAGCCATTTGTCCTTTGGAATGACCCTAACCTGACCTTGACCTTCATCATATCCTATGATATAAAGTCCTCTGAATCGATTAAGTGATCCCTGCTTATGGGGGATACAATTAAGTGATCCTTGCTTATGGGGGATACAATTAAGGATCAACAGAATAACCTGCTAGCTAATCATTGAACCTGACAGCAGGAAATTCATCTCATGTTTTTGCCATGAGATATTGTCATAACAATACAGGTATTAAAATATAGTCCTACTGGAGTAGCCTCTTCACAACTCTAAACTTAGAATGTCAAAGCTCATATTGACTCTAACAGCTTCTTTAATTACATCATGAACAGTATTCAAAATTATCAGGTCAAAAGAAACAAGTGACCATTTCAAATTTCTGAGTGCTCTAAAAGCGGGACCTTTATGCAATGTTTGGACAATGAGAAATATCAAAGCAAATCCCATTTGAGGTAAGCATTGTAAAAGACACTTCATAATCAATACAAATCATCAAATATGCAGATTCAAGACATGAAAAAAAACATTTGGCAGTAAAAAATGATATTAAGAAAGTTACTTACTCTTTGAATTGAGGAGAGGCGCCTTGAGGTGAAGGGGGCATCAACTGTGAAGGCCGTACCAAGGTCACTCCAGTTCCAATGCCCCGAGCTACAATACCAGACTCACCCTCCAGATCAAAGCACTGACAATAGCTTGGAAAAATAAGGTCAGCGGATTGAATTGATTGAAAAATGGAATAAATTGGAGAGATATGAACACAACTGATACTGTAAAGAAATGTATGTAAACCTAGATAAACACTGTATTAACACTGAATGTCAAATTGATAATAAACATTGTTTTATGTGGAAACTGGCTTATCAATGACTACTTTTAAAAGACTTATTTACAATGTAAAAAGTATAATTTTAAGATTTACCCAATCACTGCATTTCCACCCAACTCTGCTACTTTTACACCAATTTTCCTCTGAAGTTCACCTACATGTATAAAATGTTGTCATTAGTTGTTCATATAAACTTTTTTACATCATTCAAAATGTCAAGATGTATTCTCAGACAATTTTTTGCACTTAATGTTATGAATGCAACAAAGCATGAGCAAGCATATTATGATATTCATAAGTAAAAATTAGTGTAAATAATAAGGCTCTCTCTTTATCAATAATATTAGCTTTTAATACCTGAGAGTTTGGAGAAGAGTCGTTGCCTTGCTTCATTAGATGCCCGCGGTGTTCTGATCTTGTCAATCCACTGATACTCCGGGTCATCATTGACCACTAATTCCTCCACAAATCCGTTAATGACCTGCATGCGATACCCTGAAGGCACTTCCGCAGCTGAAACAACCACATAATTACATCCACATGTAGAAAATGTTGGAATAATTCTATCAAAATAGATAAATATATTTTTGTGCTGTTTTCTTTTTCTAATTCTATACCACATTACAATTCAAGAAATCTGCACTATATATTAACCCTGAATGGAACAAAATTGAGATTCAGTGGAATTTTCACCAGGTCAAAAAACTATGTTAGTTTTATAGTTTTCAAAGAAATACTTGTTCTGATTTCTATCATTATGCTTACTGCTGAAGAACTGGATGCCACATGATGACTGACGGAACTTGTTCACATCTGAAAACAGGTCTACCTTGACAATGAGATTGAGCTCCCCTCGAATACCTAGAAACAGAGATGTAACACTGTCAATCAATTAAAATTGCTACATATTGTACATGTTTTTCATTTGCTAACACACGTCACAAATATAAACAATACAGATAGTAAAACTTATCTCTGGATAGTTAATTTTAAATGATAAGATACATAATAACCTAGAATTAAATATTCATTTAAAGAATCTTAATATCTAGAGAAAAATGCATCATGCAAATATTCGAGTAGATATAAAGTACATGGTAATGAAAATTGATATTTAGACTCTTTGACATATAATTGTACGTCTCTAAATTCTAACTACATGTACTTGTTTAAGATAATTAAGCAAAAGTAATTGAATATACCTAATAAATATAAAAACAAGTTTAACAACCTTTGACTTTACCCTAATCTGAATCTGATGAATTTTACCCACTTAGCTCAGATAACTAATCACTTATCACTTAATTCTTGTTCATAGTCTACCTAAGTTGACCTTGGTGTGACCATACCATGCATAGTGTCGTAGATAGGGAACCATC